CGCCTCTGACGTCCTTCCCTGCCACTCCTGACATCCTCATACAGTTGTACACACATCAGCGTGATAATATCTACCAAAATGGAAAAAATGTATGGATTTATACTTTGAGTTTTTAGTGTGGCTCATGTCCCATCGACTAACATGGAGAGGACAGGATTTATGACCTATACAACACCCCATAAGGTGGCAAACAAGTTTTGGAGGCTTCACCTCCAGGAGCTCTTTGGCTGCCCATCATCTGCACAGTTAATGGTTTCAACAAAAAAGTCTGCAAATTATTTTTCATTCTGTACAGTGTAAACAAATGTCTACCTGGACGGCAGGAGATAAAACATAGGCAGGATATACATTTCTAAAAACGTATCTTATAAATGGCAGAAATGAAAAAGATACTTGACCTGTACCTCAATGATACTGTGCTTTAAGTAAGGCCAACACTATCAACCATGGTAAAAACTCTGTAGTAAAGTAAGGCACAGTGAAATACACACATGTACATATTACCCACACATACCTGAAGACAAACGTCCCAGCTGTGCCGTGTCCAAGCACCTCAGATGAAATGAAGGACAGTTTACCCACCTGCACCTCCTCACAATTTCCTTCTGACACTAGTGGGAAGGAAGACAGAGAGAAATAAATCTCATCTTAACAGGGAGGAACACATGGAAATAATATATAAGTTTGGTGCTTTACCTGCTGTGGATTTGTAGCAGCTGGAGCCACTTCTATCAGTATCTGAGATGCTGTGGCTGTTAGTCTGAGGACTAGGCAGAGGGTCAGTGGATGCAGGAGGAGAGTCTGCATTTAGAAAGGTGAAGTAACACAGTATTTAATTGAAGAATTAATAATATATTAAAGATTTCAAGGCTTTGAAAAACATATTGCTTTGACCCTACTTTATGCATTTCTCAAGTGCAATGAAAAATAAACTGTTTAGTTCTTGAACTTAAGCCTGACAATATAACACAAAGGAGAACTTGTTTTCACTTTTACATACCACTAGAGGGGTTTGTCTGAGTAGAAAGGGATGAGTCTGAAGAACCTGAGGACAATGTTTGTATGCTTGTCTGCATGCTGGTATGCATGCACTGCAGATGAGACTCAGAAACCTCCTCCAGCTGCCGCTGAGCTGCGCGCTGAGGAAACACATACTGTGCCATCTCCATGATAAGATGCCACGACAATCACAGATGAATGGTAAATAACAGAGTGTCACAGAATGATTGCCATCATTTTTTCATTTCTTTACATCTGAAAAACTACGTCTTAAACACAATTGCTTTTTAACAGCAGGCAGACAGAAGACACAAAAACTCACAGGTGGATATGTAAGTGCAAAAACCAGCCATCCTCCCAGCATTATTGTCAGAACAGCCAGAGTCAGGGGGTCCTGTGTGATATAGACAGGCAGCACAGTAGTCGGTCTCTGAGCCTGCCCTGATGTCCTCCCATCGACCCCTCCTCTCTTAGCATTAGTGTCGCTATGGCTGTCAGCAAAGGTCTTGGACTGGAGGACACAATAACATACCAGAGAGAAGGAACAATGGAAATGTAATGAGTACTAAACTGGTCTGTGCAGATTCTCAGTCATCCAGGTCATAGTAAACTGAAAAAAATCAACCGGACTTAGGTTTCTAGGTCGAAGACGTTTCACCTCTCATCCAAGAGGCTTCATCAGTTCTGACTGACTGGTGTTGAGCCGAGGATATTTATCCCCCTCGATGGTGTTTCAGTCCTCTGAAGGCCAACAATGTCAGGGGAGGATCCAAAGACAGTAACAACGCTCACAGATCCTGGGCTATGACGACTCAGTTATTAAGTGACACTGTTGGATGAGAGGTGAAACGTCTTCGACCTAGAAATCTAAGTCCTGTTGAGTACTGAAGTTTTTTCAGTACTAAACTGGGTTTTCTCTGTCTTCCTTGTTTTCTGTAGCTTCTGATCACAGTGGTTGTTAAACTGAAAGAATCATACTTTGTATAATTTACTGTCTGCCAAGATGCTGTGACTCACGTATCGCTGGTGGTAATAGTTGCTAGTGAAGCCCGAGGAAGGAGAAGGTCGAGGAGGGATGACTGCCTCGCCAGAATGCCGCTGCAGGGGGAATGGGAACTCCCTCATCATGGTGGTGTGGGCTACTGGAGGGAGCTCGTGATGACCTAAAACACACAAACAAGCCAAGTCAAAGTCAAGACAAAGTGTTTTTTATAGCACTTTAAACAACAGCAGGTTCACCTAAGCACTGTACAGATAGAAATACACAAGAAAACATAAAATAAAATTTTAAAAACCCACACGTTTACAGCTGCACGAGAGTCTGTGTTTGTGTTGGGACTGCGGTCACTTTCACATCTGGTCAATAAATCAAAGAGATGGTTCAGTTTTGAGCAAACTTTGCAACTTCAGTACAGTAAAAAGCTATCTGGTCAATAAATCAGATCCATTCTAATAAATTATTAGTTCAGCTTTTTGAGGATCTTTATCCCTATTTTCTCAGCAATAAATTTGTCAGTGCCATTTTATGTCCATGGACGACATTTCAAGACAAACTGAGATGTTCTAAGAAAACATACTGTGAGATGAACTTGTTTTCACTCAATACCTGGCTTTGAAAATGATCAGTGATTAGTGACTACTGATTAAAATTACAAAAAAGAACTGACCAAGTAATAAAACAGAGATTAAATACCTTTATGTTTTTTTAGTAAACTAACACTTTCATTCAACATTTCAACGTTAAAAACCTTGATAATTAATCTGTGGTTTGGAAGTACTACTTACAAAAAGAATGCATTCATGTTAATTTACTACAGCTGTGAACAGGAAGTTTGTTAATAATGAAATAAATGACATTATTAAAACATTAATTACAGCATTACACAGGTTTTTAATAAATGTGCTGTTTCACAAACCTGTGATGTCTGTCTGTCCCCCCCCCCCTTCTTTTTATGTGGACATAAAGTGCATTTAAAGTACCATTACCATTAAATGTGTGGGAAACATGGATGCTGTTAAGGGAATTGGGATGTACCCTCTGTGTGTTTACCTATTAGCAACCAGTGGTTTTTCTGGCTGTTTATGCTGCCTGGCGGATAGCGCACATCAGTGGATGGCGTGATCTCACACTCCCCTCGTTCTCTGACCGTCACTCCAGCCGTCAGTGGACCTTCAATCTGTCCCAGGGTCAGGCCACGAGGCTGCCGTGGCAACAACAGGCACAAACCAGTCACATAACAGTTATCCTGTTATCACCAAGATCATTATCATTTACCCACTTTCTGATACACCTGATGATATGCTGGAATAACCATTAATGCAATGTTAAAGGAGGAGGCAGTATTAATACAGATTTGGGTGTTTAAAGAAACTTTGTGCGTGAATGCTGATATATGATGAAAATGGATCGTGTACTCACCACTAATGAGACTCCATGGTGGACAAGGGAATTCAAGGCGTAGAGGTGAGAGTGCAATTTTCCAATGTAGAGAGTGGGGCTTTAAAAAAAACAAACAAACAGAAGTTGGGTATTGTGGAGGGGGTTTCTGAAGCTATCCCTTTCCTTTAATGTGTTTGTATCAATGCTGAACTAAACATCTCAAGTTTCTTAAAGCTCCTCTTTAAGGGAGCATGTGGGGGCTGTATATAAAATGTTATTCTTACACAAGTTGAGCTTGTGCGCTGGCTTGCTCCTTTACAAACTGATAGCTCCACTTCAGTGTCGAGTGTGCATCTGCCTGCTCACTGGCAGAAGAGAACGTGAGGAAGCGTAGCGTTTCCATGCCGAGGGACAGGTGGGGGGCGTGTCTTAGTGAATCACCAGAGTACAGATAGACCCCTACGACGGGTGATCCATAGTTCTGACTCCACAGGACATCACCTAGAAGACAAAAACGCAGCACTTTTAGTTTTCAGAGATAAAATACAGTAAATAGACACATGCAACATCTCCCATACGAAGGTACGAATACATTCATATGACACCAACCATGCACACCTCACCCTACCTGTTTCTCTGTCAACTGTCACAACAAGGCCATCACCACTCGATACAAGATGAGCCATTTCTTGAGGGAAACCAGGTAAGACAGGTTAGTATTGGATAAGCACACATTTCTTTAGATTTCAAATATCAGAGATGAAGTGCTCAATCATAAACCACTTTATCTGAGTGCTTTTAATATAAATACTGAACTAGAAAGTACTCACAGAACACACTATTTATACTTTTATATAAATCATAACCAGACTTTTATTCAAAACTCAGTGACAGTTATGACATGCATGTGCCTTTATGTTAGTGTAGTAGTTGAATAGTGTTCAAATCCAATGTATCTCATAGTTAAAAATAAATAAACTAACTCCTGGTTTCAGACTTGCATCAATTTGCAGTAAAGTTATTCTATACGCTGTAGGTGTTTCTGGAGTTTTGACCTTTTCAGATTGGCATAAAAAGACTTATTCAGAAACTTAAGACTGCACACACACCTGAAAACTAACTGAAATCTACTAACCACTGATTGTATATACAGTGGACACTGTATACACGGTGGCTTATATCTGAGCCACTGACGTGGAGAAAGCGAGATTTATGACCTATACTGCAACCAGCCACCAGGGGGAGATTGACTCATGGTGTCTTCACTTCTGGGATTTGTTAGCCTGTCCATCGTTTTTACAGTCACTGCTATAAACATTGAACGAACCACATGTAACATCCACCGGACAAGGACAACTGATCAGGAATACAATCTCCATACAGTTACAGGTTGTAACAGTTTTTAATGCGCTACATGCACAGTTCATATTTACATTTAGCTAAACCAGAAAATATCCCTGCAGGTCAGTCTGTCTAACTGAATGTGTGTGCAGGGACATACTGTAGTCTTGTTTCTCATCATAAGGTGGAGCAGAGTAGTCATTGTATGTAGCATTCCATCGCAGCTCCTGTGTCTTCGTGTCAAACATAGTAACCATGTATTCTGGAAAACAAATGGGTGCAAAGTTTAAAAATACCAGGCCACCTCTCAGCCGCATGTGTGTGTGAGTGTATGCATGTTAGGGTGCACCTGTGCAACAATACCTGTGCGTCCTATGTAGAGCAGAGGAGTGTTGGGACAGATAGATTCAGAGGAGGAGGTGGTTAAACTGGTTTGCTTCTCACCTGTCTCAGGATCCACCACAAACCACACATCTTGTTTTTTACCTGCATGTACACAAACAACTATCAACACTACGTATGTCACATATTCATAAGGTATGTTACTGTCTGTCATTCTTTGTCTCTGACAACTGTCTGTCTCACACACAGTTATAAAATACGTCACATTTCCCTGTGCAGGAGGCAGGACATGATATTGTCACGTAGCAGCTTTGTAATTTGGTCATAAGCAACCAAGTTCCTTAAATGTGTATGATGGTCTTGGCATCAGCGCTTAAAGACAGAAGTTCCCAGATCTCATGATGTCAAAGTGACACATGGGGTCAGACTCCTCTGGGTAATATGTATCTAATTTCAGGGTTGCAGTGCATGTCTGAAAAGAGCTTACATGGTTTCAAACACATTGGTCTTGACACTTACTGACATAATGCATTTCCTCATCCTTAACCCTAACCATCCCAATCCTAATCCTAACCTAGAGTTTGAATTCATGCCCTCAGGATGACAATAGAGAGTAAGCAAAAAGATTTTTAAAGGTTTGTTTGTACCAAAAGCAGTCAACCTATTAAATAAGCAACTGTAAAATTCTGACTGCAGGTGTAAATTTGTATTTGATTTTGCGGTTATTTACTGTTTTTATTGCTCAGACTGATTTCATATATTTTAGTGATATGATTTGATGGCCTATATTGTTTTAGTGATATGTTAGTCTGTTTGATTTTATGAGATGTATTTTGAAGTGTGTGTTTGTGGTACAGGGGGCCAAAGACAAATTTCCACCATGGTGGATAATAAAGTAAACTGAACTGAACTGAACTGAATTAACTTGAATCATAGACCCTAAAACCAAGTTTTAACTCCAAAAAAGTCTTTTGAACGGATGAGAACCGGCCAAAATATCCTCACAGCAATGGTTTTAAACTAATTTGACGACAAAAACATGCAAGGACATGCGCACACACACACACACACACACACAGTCTCACCTGTATAGAGTATACCGTCAGAGCTCCTGCAGGGAGCTGACTGAACCAGCTCTGGGATGGTAAAAGGAAGTTTCTGCAGACAAATGAAAACAATGGAGTCACAGAGTGAAAGCAGACACACAAACTAACACACACACACACACACCACATTCCTCACCATCAGGCCTTCCTTCTGCTTGCCACTCAAGACATATAAACTTCCATCATTGGGGTCTGGGAGAAAATCTGGCCTATGAAAACATTATTCATACATCAGTAAAAATGAAAAGATTTCCCAATTTCACAATGCTACTGGTCAAACTGGCCAGTACAGTAGTTTCAGCACATACACTTTTAGATTCTTAAGCATTTCTATGTAAAGCACCTTAACTTTGTACTCTACTGGCACTGTATTTAACCTAGTTTGTAAATGCTCTCTATATTTTGATGATACTAATGTATTTCTTTGTTTATGGCCATAAAACACTTTTTGAAATTGATTTTTAAAAACTATGTAAATAAAGTATATCATTATTACCTTTTTTCAACCTTACTATATATTTTACTTTAATACACATCTTTTTCTACAAGCTTTTTTTTAATTTAACAAAACTTATCAAAATATGAAAAGTTGTCTAAAAACATGTAGCCGTGCAAAAACATTTCCTAAATTAAATGACGTACAATTGGCAACATTTTAAAATTAAATCAAGAGCTAGCAGATCCAAGAAAAAGTAAACACCACTATAACTCTGACCATAATTTGCTGCCAACTTTTGATATTTGACCTTTTTCAGCACTTGGTGTTATGAACACATTTTGATCTGGACCCAAAAAGGTGCTGGAGGTTCAATACCCAGCCCTGTGTGTCCATATATGTGTACATGTGTTGGTGTTACTCACTCTGTGAGGTAAACGGGCACTTGAATAATGGGGTCTGAAAGAAAACAAAGAACATGAGAAATATTGAAATATTTATTTATATAAATATTTAAAAATAAAAATGAAAAATAGGAAATAGTATTGACATCTTTGTGTATCAACCTTCTTGTAGGGTCCACTTGATGTCTCCTGACTGTTTGGAGACAGCATGCAGACTACCGTCCAGTGTCGAGATGAACAGGAGGGACTCTGGGAGGGTGACTGATCGTACTCCTCCAACCTGATGGATTGCCAAAGAGAAAAGGAAAACTTTAAGCCAACTGTCTCACAGGGAGTTCAGTCATCCTGTCAATGTGTCCAAGATTTCAGCATAGCTTGTCTACTGTGTGTTTGTCTGTGTATGTGTGTGTGTGTGTTTGCCAGTAGCCGTGTGAGTTTGTGTGAGGGGCGTGTCAAGTCTGCAAGGAGTCAGTAGTCCAGCCTTTCAGCTTGTGTTTAAATATGTTCCTCATTTAGCAGGATATCCTTATTCTCACCCACCTCACAACATTATACCCTGTATGTTTGTTCACCACTCCCATATTTACCCACCAATGGGTGGCAACTGACAACACAGAACTCTGCAGTACAAATTAAACTATGGCAAACTGAATCAAGACAGGCACAGAGGCACTTATGCATGTACAAAAATATTAACTCACACACAGGCAGATAATAATTGGACACAAATAAGCAAAAGATCACGCACCGTTTTGTCTTGTACTTAGGTATTTTGATTTGTTCTCAGGGATTAATTGTGGGAGGATCATTCTTGTTCTTGATTGTCTCTCAAATACTATATTCTGTTTGGTTTTAGGTACTTTGGAATTTGTTTCTCTAGATATGTGTGTGGTGTTTGTTCTTATGGTGTTTTGTTGCTGCTTTCTATTGCTACTGGAACACAGGAATTTCCACATTGTGGGATCAATCAAGTCCTGTCTACCTACCACTCCTGTACCCAGTCTGACAGATTTAGGGTTATTTTGTCATTGTGTGACTCTTTGTGGCCACTTTGCGTCTCTCTGTGGCTGTTTTGTCTCTTCACGTTTGCTTACTGTCTCTTTTATGTTGATTTGTATCTCCCTATGGTCATTTTATTCCTCTTTATGCTCAATCTCTTTGTAATGCTTTTACATTTCTTTTGGGTTATTTTGCATCCTTTTTTTTTTGGTCATTTTTGCCTCTTCGTAGTTGTTTTGTGTCTCTGGTCATTTGGTGTCTCTTTCAGGCTGTTTTGAGTCTCCTTGTAATTAATGTATATCTCTTTGTGCTTGTTGTGCTGCTCTTTGTGCTCATTTTCCATCTCTTTGTGCTATTTCTTTCCTTTAAATGAGTACAGAGAGACAGGCAGTAGTACCTTAAAGATAACGCTTTATATGTCCTATCATATCATGGAAGACTTACTTGAGCCTGAAATAGACAGAAGTGTAACGGGATGCCAGTTGTGGTCTAAATAGCAACAACACACACAGTATTAACAACAATAGAAATAACCACAGTTAAGTCTACCTGAACTAGTTTTCCTTCCCAGGACAGCAGGAGAAGAGGCAGCAACAGTCGTCCCAGAGTACCTGTGACCCCCATGGCCCTTTCTTTCACGGCTCTGAACAACCACAAGAGTGAAGTTAACAACAACAAGCAACTAACAGCAGAGGTCGAACTCTCTCTCCATTTCCAGCGTGGCTATCCATCTGTCAGAAAGTTAGCACCGGCTGTGTGACATTCCCATATCCGTGTGGACAATAGCCAAAGACTGAAATCTAAGCTAGTAGTACCGCTTTAAATCCATAATAACAGTAACGTATCCGTTCTTGTCTCTATTCCATATTTCCGTGTTGGGAGGAACCGGTGACATCACCAACACGCTGTCAAACAAGGTGGGCGGAGCCGCTTTCACCTTTCTACGCACTGAGCGACAGGACATTTAGCCAATTGAGCAGAGAGATTTGGAGAAGAAGGGGAGGGGCCGTAGAAAGATCTGGAACACGTGGAAACAGACAGCAGGACAGTTAAACGCAACAAGAGGGACTTTTTGTGTAAGAGAAGCTAGTGGAGGGCGTCATTATTTGTTGGTCACTCCCTCTCTGATCGCCTCACAGTCCCATAAACAAACAGCCAATGGTGCAAAGTAGTTTTACGTTATAGACTATTCTTAGGTAGAATTTTAATGTACATAGGCTCCTGATTATTTCACTTGCACTAGGCTACACATATGAAGATTTAAATGGATTGTTACACATTAACAAAACTAAGTTTATATCTGTTTCTTTATGTCTGGTTTTCTATTTGGACCCAGCATTTCAGAGGGAACTATATTATTGTTGTTGTTGTATAAACATTTTCATAAATGTATTTTTTTAAATTCCACAACATTTTTTGATTTGCAAGGCGAGACGTTTAATTTCATTATGGAGTGTTACACATTTATTAAAAAATAAGTTTACATCCGATACCATGTTCAGAAACAGATAGAGTAATGCAGTGGTTCCCAAACTTTTTTTTTGCTGACAACCCCTTTTGTGGGTCAGCTTTGCAGTCCTGGCTTTGTGCAGTTTATCCCATTCTTTCTGACAGATCCTCTCAGCCTTCATCAAAATGAATGGTAAGCATCTATGTACTGCCATCTTCAGGTCTCTCCAAGTCTATGGGGTTTAACTCTTTTTATTCCATAGTATTGCTACTTCTTCCACCAGTACATAATATACACAGTAAAATTAGAAAAGAAAGTCAAACGCTTTATTTGTCTGCAGCATATTTCTCTTCAGAAATGTCACCTAACAGTTAAGTCCAATCTATTCCTCATTACTTACCAAAATACTATTTACATTCTCATGTAAAGTGCCATTACATGGGAAATCAGACTAAGCGGATGTGCTTCTGATATGAAATGATGACAAAAAATTAAATAACACTGGCAGGCACTTCTGTCACTTGAGGTATGCGCAGAACAAAGGAAACAAACAGCATCATCGACTGGTCTTTGAAGGCGTACTGTGGCTGTGTGCGGGTAGGTGATGTGTGGGCTCTACACACAATGCAGCACCCAGGTCTTCAGTTCTGTGTGGATTACTAATGGAGCACACTGTCAGGTTTGGGATAACCAAACATTTCAAAGTCTGGTTCATACAACTTGTACAGTTCTCTCCTCATTGTCAAGGGAATCTGTGCAAACCAGTCTCTTTCCCAGCTGGCTGCAGTACGGTTTTGGGCCCCTGAAGGGAAGTGTATCATATCATCCACCTTCAGAAGTTTCAGCAGCTGCTCCGCGTCAGTTTCCAGGCTTTCTAGTCGTCCGATGAAGTCATACTTGACCTGACACGGATGGCACAGGCGGTACACCTGAAGCACACAAAAAGCAGGGGTACACGTTTAAAATGCATCAGTTTCTGTGCATGTTTGGTACTTTGTGTGTAGCCTAATATCTGCCTCTGCCCCATGACTGTTTCTACCTTTGTGTGAACACATATAATCATACATAAAAATCAGGTCACACAGCTCTGCCCAAATGTTTTTGGCTTCACTGCCTTCCTCAGACTTACATGACTTCAACCATTTTCTTTACAAAACATTTTAATGTGCATATAATAATACTCTAGTTTACTGCTCTCCGTATATATACTACTACATTTAAATATATCAAATTGTTATATATCTGTGATGCAGAAAGACCATAACAATAGAATGCAACAGCAGAGGTTGAAAATAAAGAACATAACACAGCATAAAACATGAAAATAAGATTTTTCCTGTGCTGAGACATATCATGTCAAGATAATTAAGTGGGCTACTGCTAAATTTGTATCCTGAAAAATCCTAATATACAGATTCAAATGGCTTGATTTATTTATTGCAGAACAGATTGATGCAGTTGTCCCATAATACAACCAGCTAAAAATTAAACAGAAATACAAGAAATACACTTTTATTGTCTTATTGTACAGCAGTCAAACTGGACTAGGCAGTGATGTTCCAAAGGCACAGTTGTTTTTTTAACCTTTCTTATTAGGACATGATGAATACATTTCTTATATACTGACTGCCAAAATAGCGCCAAGTCAAAATTATTGCACAGTGTATAGTTTTTAAAAGGCTTTTAAAAGTATTTATATAGTGAGCTCATGAAATTTCAGACAATTCAGTCAAACTGTATTAAGTGAAACCTGCACTGTTTATATGGGTGTAGTAGCTGTGTGAGACAAATACCTGTCGCCAGTGTTCATTGAACATTTTCTCACTCTCAGTCTCTGGATCCAGCAGGTATGTGATAAACTGCTGAAATGTCGGTGTGACTCCTGCTGCAAATGCCTCAGCCGCTGTCTCTGGCAAACTCCCAGACACATTACCATAACGACGGAGCATGACCGAACCAAACTGTCTGTAGAAGTCCTCATTGGGCCTAAAGCACACACAAATACACACACTTAAATAATTGAATTGCTGTGTGAACCACACTGCCTTAAACCCAGGTACATGCTTTCCTGTTCCTGCAGTAAGCATATTCACTTCCTGTTTATTGTGCCTGCACCATGTTGTGTTTGCTTCCAGATAGTTTACAGATTAAGTTCACTGATTTCTAGGTTTATCAGAACATCAGCTAATTTTTTGCGTCACAGCTTGTGCTTGCACTACCTAAGCACCTGTGTTACAGAAGTTTTTGTTCATTTCCAAATTTAACTTGCTAATTTAGGTCAGCTAGCAGGAAGCTAGCTAAGCTAGTAGCTTAGTTGAGAGCAATGGCTACATTAACCTGCCCAGTGTTTGACTGTTTGTTGTGTCCTGTTGCTTTTCTTTTCTTTTCTCTTCTCTCTCCTCTATCCACTCACCCCAACCAGTCGAGGCAGGAGGGCGCCTGCCAAGAGCGGAAGCTTCTTCCGTTAAAGGGAGTTTTTCCTCCCCACTGTCACCAAGTGCTTGATCAAGGGGGATTTGTTGGGTTTTTACTCTATAATATTAATAATAATAGTAAAGTCTCGACCTTACTTTGTAAAGTGTCCTGAGATGACATTTGTTGTGATTTGGCGCTATATAAATAAAACTGAATTGAACTGAAAACCCACACCCACGTTCTCTCTCTACCATAGCTTGAAACACACCTTCCAAACTTGTTCCTGAAGGCAGAGATGAGGCGTACAAAAGGGTCACGTACAAACAAGAACTTGGTGTAGTGTTGGAGCTTGAGTGCCATCAGGTGGCGGGACAGAGAACCATAATGGTGCCAAAACCTGGTAAAAGACACATGGACACATGCAAAACACCATAAATGATTTTCTATTACTATTACTGCCTTTCTTCTTAAGTTGTAATTGTGATGCATTAGAAATTGATAAAAATCCATTCAGTGATATCTCTAAATGAGTTGAAAGCAAAACATGAAATATCAGTTTTACAGAAGGGAACAATGTGTCTTGTACAATGGTGCAGACAGAAAAACAGACGTCCAGATACTCAAGTACAGACAGTTCCCGAGGGGTAAAGTCAGGTCTGTCTGTGCTGTAGCGCCAAGATTTCACCTGTCCTTTCCACTCTCCTCTCCCAAGTGTTACTCGGTAAATAATGTCTTTAGTTTGTCAAATACAGTGTCAGAATAACTGAATATCTGAGTGTGACTGTAGAACCATCTAAACATGAAACCATGTGATTTTGAATGAAAAAGTTGGAAAACAGCAATATACAACTTTAGTTTTATTAGGTTTTAAAGGAACAAATGAATTACTATGTCATGCTAGAAAAAAGCATAGTGATCCCTTAATTTGGCCAGATTCGCTTTCATTTCTTACTGTAAAATTGACTTTTGCTTCTTGACCCCTGATTTTGTCTTTGTTGTGAGTGCAGGATTGAGTTATGTGATTTGTCTGGTTGTCCAGTCTTCTTGTTTATGTTTCATTTTTCTTGGTTTTCCATGTTGACTTGTTGGGTTGATTTTCTTTACCGAGTTACTAAACAGTGTGAGTGGGGGCTTGGGCTCTCTGTGCAGGATTCTGGTCTTTGCTTTGCTTTATATTGTCTATGGAATACAAAAATAGTTCTTCTCTGAGTCTGTAGACTATTTTTATATTCATTGTTCTGTCACTGTTGTTAATAAATAGTAATGTATTTATGGTACTGCAGGCCTAATACTAGCTGTACTCTCTTAGTAGTACCATTTTGCATGATGAGTACTTTTCCTTTTAATACTTTAAGGATATTTTGCTGGTAATGCTTCTGTACTTTCACATAAGTTTTGAATGAAGGACTTTTACTTGTAATGGCAGAGATGAAAGAAGTAGTCAGATTGTTTACTTAAGTAAAAGTAGAAATACCACACTGTTAAAATACTCACAAGTAAAAGTCCTGCATTCAAAATGTTACTTAAGTAAAAGTATAAAAGTATTAGCATCAGAGTAAAAGTACTTATTATGCAGAATGGCACATTTCACATTTCTATATTTTACTAGATTAAAATGATTGATGCCTTATTATGTTCAACCCTTTAATGCTGCAGATAGTAAAGGTGGGGCTAATTTTAACAACCTTATATGCTTAGCATTTGAAGTACCTGGGTACCTTGTGAATTTCTGATGATCAATAAAAGCTTTTGATTATACCTTGTTTTGGTTAATTCATCTGATTGTGCTAATTATCAAATAAATGTTGTGGAGAAAAAAGTACAATAATTGCCTATAAAATGTAGCAAAGTCAAAGTATGAAAAAGCAAAAAAAAAATGACAATGCTCAAGTATAGTATAGATACCTCAAAACTGTACTTAAGTACAGTGCTTGAGTAAATGGACCTAGTTTCTTTCCACCTCTGTGTAATGGAATATTTTATTGTTACCGTTAGTTAAGAAAAAGATCTTAATATTACTTCCACTTGTGAGTATTTGTTTGTATGTGTGTGTCATACTTGGCAAAGGTGAGGTGAAGAGAGGAGTTGTGCACGAGATCAGGAGGTACTGCCTCGGGGTCAGTGTAAGGTTGTCCTGAGGAGGGTGAGATCAGAGACTGAGACAGAACCACCATCACTCTCTTCCAGTTGGTGCACGCTACCTGAACAGAAAACAGCGACCAATAAAAACAGGAAAGAAAATGTAAGACTGTCAGAAGGACAGGAGGGACTACAAACATGTTAATGTGATGTGTGTGCAAAATGCTAGAAGAAAACAGACGTTGTGATTTTAGGCTGTTTTTGTCCTCTTACTTCCTTACTATTTTTCTTACCCTTACATCCATGCATAGTGAATTAACTCACCATTCATGTGTATGTTCACACACACACACACACACACACAACATGCAAGCCAGATGTACCTTGGGAACGTAGCAGTAGATAATCTGGTGTGTATCATCCACTATCAGGTGATCCAGTTCCCTGTTTGGAACTTGTTCAAATGCACGAGTCCTTCCAGGGAACTCCAAACCATCCTTTCCTAAGCACACATCCATTATTCTCTGCTTCCTCGCCTTCTGCTCTCTGTAGTCAGCAGAAATATGATCTCTCTCCCTCGCCTCATCCTCCCTGGTTTCCTCCTTCCTCTGCTCATGTTCATCCTCTCCCCCCTCTTCGCCAGCTGCCCCTCTTGACTCCTCAGGGATGAGTTTTTTACTGGCAGAGGTGATGGAGACTGTGGTGCTGGTGGAGGGAGAAAGCGAAGGGCCTGTAGTTATCACAGAAAATGAATCAGAGTGAAGCGACCCGTGTTTTGGTTCTCGCAGTGAATAGAAGTTGAAGCCCCCTACGTCGTCCCAGTAGACGATGATTAGCAGGATCATAAACAAAGACCCCAGGATGAATGCTGCTCGTAGTCCACGCCATATTCCCATGGTTATGTCCGATCCAGAGCCGTGATTGGTAAAGAAAAGAGGAAGTGGTTATTTCAACTCCATGCCGGCCATTTGCTATTGAGGTGACACTTCCTGCATGCTGGGTGCAACTGAAAGAAACAGGAAATGTTACTAAGACTTAAGTTCTTCTTTCACAGCAAAGTGAAGTATGAGGATTGAGCTCAGTGTAAGAGTAGAAAACTACACTCACAAGTGTAGAACGCTATTACTGTACTACCAACACTTATGATATTCTGTTCACAAACAGTTGACTTTAACATCTCTGCCTGTTCTGTATTTACACACAGAGGATACAGTGCAGCATTCTCCACGGCACCAACAAGATGGAACAAACAGGGCTAAACTAAAATAAAACACTGACATGAAATCCTACATGTGCTCCTGAACTAGCTCAAGTTGTATTAAAAGATTTTTTAAACAAATTCAGGCATCCAATCTGTACATGTTTACACACCTAAAACAAAGACAAACTGCTTTTTAATGTCTTGAAGAGTTTAACACAAGTTATGTGTTTTCACTCAAAATGGTAATACAGAATTACTGTATTTGCTAAGGTGGTGTTTATACTGTAAATGCCAACACAGAGAATAAAAACACGCAGTACCAGTGGTAGAAGAAGTATTCAGATTGTTTGCTTAAGTAAAAGTAGCACTACCACAGTGTAAAAATACGTGTGTTATAAGTAAAACTCCTACATTCAAATATTACTTTAATAAACGTACAAAAGCATTAGCATTAAATTATACTTAACGTAGCAAAAGTCAAAGTACTCATTATGCAGAAGGGCATATTTCACATTAATTCAAACTGTTGAATCATACTGATGCATAAGTGTGTTCACGTTGCAGCTGGTAAAGGTGGAGCTAATGTTAATGCTTACACTTAAATTACTGCTGGGTAGATTGTCAATTTCCCACTGAGGATCAATAAAGTCTTATGATTGTACTGTATTTAGTTTTACTGATCTCATTCTGAAAAGTAACAAAATAAATGTAGTTGCATCAAAAGTACAGTATTTGTTTCTATAAAGTTGGTAAGTTGAAGTATGATGTAGTAGAAAATGAAAATTTACAAGTGCCTACAGATACCTCAATACTGTACTCAAGAGTAGTACTTCAGTAAATGTACTTAGCTACTTTCACCACTAAAGTTAATTACTCATTTATGAATAACTTAAAATAAAATACTTTGTCTCTCAAACCGAGCTAAGACTGTAAAATAGACTTGTTCAACATATTTAAGTCCAAACCATTAAAACCAATATTAAAAAGTATATACTGTCTGATGTTATTTTTGACCAGGGTGAAGCTGCCCAGGGGCCGTGGGGGCCTCAGGCTCTGCCCGGGGCCCTCCTCTGTCACACGGCTGTGAACAAACGGGACTGTGGGGGTGGGAGCAGCTGCTTATTGTCTGCCCCATAAAAACATCTGCTCTCCAGAAAAATCGTGGAAAAATGACGGTCCTAATAAAACAAACAAACAGAAAACTCCAGACTGGAAGACAGCAGAGCGGAAAAAACCACTCTCGCGTTGTTTGACAGAGAAAATTACTGTGCAATTTTATTTTCCACTGGGTTTGGAATCTAAACTCCACGTTGACCTGAGGGGTCTGTGTTGGAAAATCAGCAGCTACAACCTCTCTCTCGTCTTGGCACGCGTCGTACCCACTTGCACGCGTACGCGTACGCATGAACTCGCAAAAGGAAACTATATTATTCCTGTTTGAGCTTTAAATGTTTGTGTGTATCTCAGTGGCAAACCTGCAGAGTAACCACTCCTTGGATATTACTTTGTAGGCTGTTAAAAAAAAACACGTTATTGTAGTGTTATCTCAATTAACATTCTTCTTTTTTTCGCCAGGAATTTACCATCCTCCTCCCAATTCTCCGATGGAAAACAACCTTTATTTATACAGTGCACAAGTTACAATGTGCCCGTTCACCGGCCGCACCGGACACCTTCCTTCTACTTCACAGCGGCAGCCGAGGACAGAAAGACAGCCTTATTTTTGTCCTCCGTCTCCTCCGCTTTTTCTCCCCACAAACCTCCTCTTCATGCTCCCTTTGAGGTGTAGAAAGCCCGGTTCTGTTTCCTTTATTCCCTCCTCATGGGGAGCATCACTGCCACAATTGAGCCATTCAGGACGTTAATCTGCCCCAGAACATTAGAATACAAACAAATTGATTTATTATTTAACATACCCAGTAGATAAGTTCCATGGTACAGTCAGTCCTATTGTCGGCTGCGTGATGTGCCCTTCTACGTCTCTCCATCAGCCCGGTGATGATACCGGGTGGGCACGGTTGGAGTGCAGCAGGCTCAAATCACCACAGAATGATGCGAAGTCTCGCGAGATTTGGGACACCAGACACCCACTCATTTACACATACTCCAGTTTCGCACACCACGCCACACATACCGTCCGGATTTAGGATGAGAAACCAAAAACCAGCCTACGCCTGTGAATCTGGTTTCCAAATTATGGTTCGGGGACTTCCAGGCGGCCCCTGAGGAGGACTGGGGGAAGATGTAGGAATGGTGCAAGTTTACTGGTTATAAATAGCAAGGCCCATTTCTGCTGCTGAAAAATAGATTATATAGCTAAATTATGAGACAGTGGCCTAAAACAAAAATCTGACTTAGTCTCTCACTAATTTGACTTTTTATGTCAGTAATTCACTCAGGAATAATGTTGACTAGTGTCTAATAAGTGTGACTTTTTATCATAATTAAAAAGTCCAAGACTTTATAGGTTATTACATTATTTATTTTATTTAGCATCCTTTAGTGGTGGAAGAAGTACTCAGATTATTAGCACTAAAATAAACTTAAAGTACCAAAAGTACTCATCACACAAAATGGCACATTTCACATCGATGCACTTGTATACAGATGGCGCTAATGTTTACTGCTGGGTAGCTTGTGAATTTTTCACAAGGGATCAATAAAGTGTTATGGCTATACTGTATTTTGTTTTATTAATCTGATTCTGAAAAGTAACTAGTACCCTAACTAAAGTCATCAAATAAAAGTACTGGAGTAAAAAGGACTAATTACCTTTAGACCTAAAAACGCTTTAAAGATATTACTCTTGGTTTCTGGCCAAACCTTTCTACGGAGTGTGGCTGGGAATGGCTTGTCCTCAGTAGTTCCAAAATCTTGGATACGATCTTAATTAACAGTCAGTTAAAACCTGGACATTTATTTCACATTAGGCCCCAAAAAAACTGAACTGCAACTGAACTTAATGTTTGAATGGTTTTGCTCTTATGTTGAACTGCATTTTATAAAGGTGTTTCTATTTTTCCGGCAACTTTCTGCAAATGCTCTCTTTTTTTCTGCACATATTTGTTGGCCATAAAAGTCTAAACAGACTATCATCCATGTTTGAATAAAGGCTCAATAGGCTCAATCTTCATGAGTATTTATAACATCTGTGAGCCAGTGGGAGAATGACAGGGTGGATGTTTTCTCCACATCAGAAAGACCAGGCTGCTCACAAACTGTATTAAAAGGATGACACTAGGTCTTTCATTAGGAAAAACAGAAAACGGGACAGAAATTTCAGAGCAAGCCCATTTATAGTTTGACCCCCACACGTCCAGGACCCACCCACCATGTTTTAGAAAGGTCCTGCTTGGTAGATAATGTCTTTTTTAAATAAGTCAATGGTTCGCTGTTCACCTTCTCAACTATCATGGTGAATGTCTATACAAAGAAATCCTGAATATACAGAATATACATTAGATCTGTAAAGGTGTTCACCATTATAACTGATAGTGGAGCAACACTGACTTCTCGTTTCCATTAGGGATTAACTCTGCAGACTAATGAACACAACTGTGTCGGCACATCAGAACTAACTCTTCTCTGCATGTTGGGTTCCTATAGAACTAGCCTGTCTTGATGTTAACATCGAAAATGAAATGCAGAGCTCTGTTGTAAAAATGTCTGACCAGTTTTATTCATCACAAAGGAAGCTCCACTGTATTTGACTTTTGAGCCAGGGTAGAGACTGCTTTAAAATCTGAGGAACCTCAGGCATAACTTCCACCTTAATGAAAGAGCGGCTATCCAGAAGAATAAAACCCATGATCTTGGTTTTCCTAAAATAGTTTAGGAACACAAAATACTAGGTAGTTAGGCGTTATACTGGACCGCAATATATTCATAGGTGTTCCTAATAATCTGATTCTCCTATGTATGTAGCTGGGGGAGAACAAAAATAGACACCTCTAAATATAATGTAGTTCAGTCCAACACCACCTTTAACTATGACCTCAATAAACATAACTGAATGTATATATTTGACAATCTCAACAGAAACATTCACAGATTAGCAACGTTACACATGGCCAAAAACATGGGATGACAGCAAGCAGCCTAGTTTTAAAAGTGACTGCAACTAATTTAAATTAATGTATTACTACAATGACTTTACCAGAAGATGCTACATTTCACTTAGCACAGCTCGAGTCCCACATTATATTAAACGTTAGGTTTGTTCTCATAAAAACAAAATTAACCTGCTGGATTTTTGAAGGAAGTTTCTTTCAGCAAAACAAACAAGGAGCTTAAAGTGAATCACCATGTGCTGTGTTTGGTTCTGAAGAGAAGAATCATGAAACACAACTTTTGACTGGGGAATCTGAAACCATGACTCAGCATCTAACCCTGTCCATCTTTCACCAATAACAAATAGCCTGCAGAAACATGCTACAACTTCATATTTGTCGTTTTCACTACACATTTATTTCGTTTACAATTTTTATGAATTAAGATTTTACACAGAAAATGCGCTGAAGAAACATCTGATGCTTCATTAACAGTATTTTGATAATCGTTTACATTTTTATGCCTCTACAGAGGCATAGTTTTCATAGTCATCACTCCCGTCATTCTTATCATGGAAATAAGGTAAATACACTCAATTTGAGTGTCTGAGCTTAGTTAGTCATCTGAGTTGTCTGTCTCTGTCAGGCTTGCTCCCTCCTAAGAACCCCAAAACACACTCCTGGTTGGTATTGCAGCTACCGCGCAACAGAGGTCTGACAACAATCCCATCTTTGTATGAAACTGTTAAACATATCCCTACATCAGCGATAATACTTTACAGGGGCAGGATAAATTCCCTAGCTGGGAGGCCTCCCATGTCCAGAAAATCTAACGAGCATACGAAACACAAAACCTTCCCACCCTGGCCTATAAGTCTCCCCTTGAAACTTGGCAGAGTGAGACAACTCAGAAATTTAACACTAAAGTGAAATAAAGTTATTAGAATTTTGGTGGTGATGATTTTGAAAACAGCAGTACACTTATCAAGACAGGCTTACGACATATCAAAGCACAACTTCATGAATATGGAAAACCACTCATGAATCCAACAACCAAGCCTGATCGGGTACTTCCACCATTTAGTGGTGGAAAAATGACCCAGCCTTGTGCAATGCTGTGGTAAAGTTCCAAATTTCAAATTAAGTTTTCAATTAGAGTCAAGAAACTGACAACTCAAGTCCATCAACTCCAGAGGAAAGGTTACAGTTCAATTGCTGCAGTCATCTCATCCAAGGTGGTGGTGGACTCGGGTAAAGCTGACTGACTTTCCCTCTGCTAATACAGTCCCTTCAAGATCTCATCAAGGCAGTCTCAGCTCTCAGAACCAAACAGGTTGGTGCAGACGCCCCCTTGTCTCTGATCAATTGGTTAAGGCCCCGTTTGAGTCAGGTTGTTTTCTTCAGCTTCAGTCCCCTAAGGTTGGGCATCGGAATCAAAAAACACAAAGTCACTCAATCACAAGTACAAAGATAAAAATTTAATGAAGTGGACAGAAGTTGATACCTACGGAAGAGTATTAGGGCCATCTTCCGTAGATACCCGACGTCTCTAAAGGGATCAACTCGTGGTGCAAAGGCGTCATCATCGATGAGGGTCTGGTACAGTGTGGTCTTTATCTTCTTCACAGGTGAACAGGACAACTTCTGGGTCCCAGCGTCCCACGTCAGGTAACAGCTTGGTAAACTGCCACTTATCGCGGGGGCAATTAATAATTCTGTTGGGTATACAGAAGACGGCACGGCATGGCTTATCTAAGGATGTTATGTGACAAAAGCCCAAACGAATTTGACCCAAAATATCCGGAGGTGAGGTGATGACGTAACAGACTGCATAGCCTCAAGACACAGGTATATCACTTATAATATGACCTTGGCTGCATTACAGTTCTTTCTTATTTGAAACGTGATCAATATGTGCGTAAGTAGATAGGGAATTAACATGTAACATTTTAATTACATTCAGCTGAAGTGAATGAAACGACTCGAAAAAGATTCGTTCATTTTAATGAACGAGATTCAAAGAACCGAATCAGTAAAATGATCCGAACTTCCCATCACTAGTTAAAAAAGGCTTACAGGGGCGGTCCTCATTGATGATTGGATGATTGGTCTGCGGGACCACCCACTTCTTTTCCCGCCACCGATATTCAGGTATGCCGGTTGTTACGTAATGGCAAGGGCCGGGAAACCCCTTTAGTTAAAGGTGCAGGCTGCATATGAGACATGACGCTGATGTTCATCAACTGATAATGGTACGTCCATAAAACAAGCGATTCTTTCATATTAAGCAACAGGACGCCTCTTCTTATGAACACAAAGTGAACAGCCTGTACCACTGAGTGAATACTGCCCCAAAGAGCCCAGACACAACCTTAGTGTGACTTTATGGGTATTATTTAATCCAATCATGATTTCACAGTCTACATCAAGGAACAGACCTTCAAACTCAGAGATGTCCTCTCTGCAGTGTTGCTGATTCATAATCAAAAGCTGTGGCTGCTGTGAGGAGATGGTGTCCACATTTTCTGACCACAAACAGGCTGCTGTTCATTCACCGCTCTGCCGGACTCTAGTCGGTTACTTGTTTCACTTGTCCTTTTTTCATTAAAAAATGATTTGCTGTTTCATCAATGGTGTTTGGTGTTTTTGTCATATGATAGTAAAACCGAATAAGCCTGTTTGGTTGGATAAAAAAGGTCAACTGTGATCCAAAAAATGCCTTTTATGTGATGAGCAACAGTCCAAAACTGAAAGAAGTTTGTCATTGATTAGTTTATCGTTAAAGTCTAAGAAACACAGTAATTAACCAATAAGCTCATTTTGTCTGACAAAGTCAAAACCCTGAAGACATTCAATACACATTAAACAGAAAAGCATCAAATTCTAACATTTAAAGAAACTTCAACCCAAGAAATTTTGGCATGTCTGCTTAAACATTGATCAAAATCAAAATTGGTGTTTGATTTTCAACTATAATTCATCTTATTAACTCTCTACACTAGCATATTTTGCTCAGTGGCTGTGATCATGTGCCTCACTCAAGGGGGTTTATGAACAGATTACTCTCCATAATAAAGACCCAAAGACTAAGACAAAGTCAGCTAATGAGTTTGAATGTTTATTTAAAGTTATTCCCACTTCACAACCCCTCCCTGTGTGAAAGCCTAATCTGAAAGGAGGAGGATACAGGCCACTATAGCGCCACATAAGCACATTTATTAACGAGGCTGCTTGTTTAGTTACAACACCTCCACTCCCTGCTGGTTTGGGGCTCTGTGCTGCCCTGTGATAACACACTAGCATGATGCTGCTTGTTCAGAGACAATCCCTGGAGGAAGAAGAAGGTCCAGCAAGAGACGGAGCTAAGATTTGAGAGTGAGTGACTTTGATTAATGAAAAGAAAAAATAGGCAGTAGCACTAAATATCAAGTTCCACAGAGGAAAAAAAAATGGGGATGATGGTGAAAGAGAGAAAATATTCAATACAAAGTTTTCTCTTGTCCTTCGATGTGGTTGCTGATCTGGAAGGCGTGCTTTAATGATGTCACTAAAGCTGAACGCTGAGGCTTGTGATACAGCCCGAGATTCACGGCGTGGCCTTAGTCCTCCAATCAATGATGCTTCCTCTCTCTTCCTTCCACACAAAAACGGATGGACTGAGAAAGAGAGAATAAAATATGGATGGAGAATGTGGTTTGTTTGCATAAACAAGGAAAAAAGGAACAAGACACCAACAGCATCAATCTTAAAGCTCAATCCGTCACAAGGCAGATGCAGGAATGTGACTAACTTCTGCCACATGAGTGTTTGAGTAAACAGAACAGTAAATTCAGCAGCTGCACAAGGAATGAATGAGTTTGTGCAGTAAAAAAAATGGAACTATTTCCAGTGAATAATTGTCTTTTAGAACTATTAATAGCAGGTACTCTGGGGGACATTTTTACTGAAGAAACATTATGATTTGAAACAGTTTTTTCAGTGTTTTGATCAAGACATCTGCTCACCACACACCCACTGTAACGGGAAGATGGCAGAAATCTCGGAAACCTGGCACAACAAACTGAACCTATCTGTATGGTCAGATACTACTAGGGGTAAATGAGAACTTTTTTAAAATTTGGCTGATACCTTAACGGGGCGCAATAGGAAGTTTAGACCAGAAACTGACTGCAGACTACACAACGACACCGTTGAGAAATAAAATAAATCAGATTCAAACAACTTGCTTGTGTGTATGCAAGAGTTACCTGCGTAGGGGACTAAAGATCTCCAAGGGGAATGATTTCTTCGTTGATAAAAAACTCAATGGTCTCCTCCTCCCAGTCGTCTACGTTGCTGTCCAGCTCATCTGTGTCCACTCCTGGAGTGAAAACTAAATGTCAGAGACTTTCTTCATTAGAGGACAGAACTGTCTGAGTAATAAAGTGAGTGCTCCCACCTCCTCTGAGCTCCAGACGAAGGCTCTTTTGTTCTTGATAGACCTGCTGCGCTGACTCTCTGTAGTGACGGTACTCCTCCATCATGGCCCTGCGCTTGTCCACCAGCTCCTACTCACACACAAAACATCCAGCATCTTGTGTTAAAACATTCCTGTTTCTGCAAATCACTGCTGGATCATCCTTTGCCACATGGCACCAATGTTTTCGTTAGACTCATGTTAGAGTTTGTAAAGGTATTTGCATCATTTCATCACTGAGACCACTATCACTGTATTAGAACAAATTCTAAAAACTGTTCAGGGACACCAAGTTCTGCTCAAAGCTGTCTGACATCTTTAAAGTCTCACCCCAAGACATGAAGATGCCCTTCACATCAAAATGCATTTCTTGTTTGTTTAGCCTGAGGATGACTGTTTAAATAAATCCACATTGATTAGGCATGTAACAAAAACAAAACTCTCAGTACAAGATTGCCATGATAAAAAGTTCCTATTATATTTGTTATATTAAAAAATACAGTAAAAAAAGATGAAAAAAGTTCCCATTACTAAATAATAAACCTGTTTTTGTATGATTTTCCTTTCAACTTAAAATGCTCCTGCCTTCCTTCTTTATTAAAATAAAAGTAGCTAGCCATGACCTGAATGCACTGAACTGTTTGTACGACCACAAAACAAAAAATTGAGCCCACAATATTAAAAAAAAGAAACATTTTTAAGACCACCCTTCCAAATCAACTCCACAAAATCCAGTTGAAGATAAATGAAACAGGTCAAACCTTCGAAGCCTTGGACTGGCTGAGACGATCCTTCTGCTCAAAGATCTTTGAATATTTCTTAAGATCCTTCTTGATCATCTGTAAGAGACAGATATTTAATGTAAAGCTGAACAGAAGTAAGAGTATGACTTTCCTCAAACAACAAATAGGGTCAAGTATGTGCTGTATGATTTAGCTGCGAGCCTCAGATCAGAGTTAGAATCAGGAGCCACGGTGTAGCTCTCATACGAGGTGTCAGAAAAGTTAAGTTTGTCATCACTGGCTCAAAATGCACACATGCTGTGTATACAGAGTATGTATGAATAGAATGATACCTTGATCTGTTCTGAGCTGAGCAGTGTAGGAGGTCTGGGTCTCCAGAGCAGCTGGCAGAAGCGGTCCTTGTTGTTTTTCTGAAGAAGACGGCCCTGGAATGTCCACAGCCAGTACGCATTGTCCACCTAGACACAGGAGAAAAGTTTGCACAGTTTTGTTACTTTCAAGGCTGCAATAGTCTGGCAGGAGAAGCACATCTCTGGAGTCAGGGGAGCAGTGAGCACCTTGTGGCTCCACCAGGAGACGGAGGTGACGACGTAGCGACCTGTCGGGTCCCACTCCACATCAGAAGCCATATAGTGCTCTGCTATGTTCATCATGGTACAGTCTGACGTGTCCACAAAAGCAAGAGCTCCATTCATGCTGCAGACAGAGAGAAAAAGCAGGGGTTATACAAACACACATTTATCAGTGTTGACACATAAGTGCAATTATATAACAGTGTGAGTCTCAGATCTCAGTTTGAATCAGGAGCTTAGGTCTCATAAGAGGCGGCAGAAAAATGTTGCTTGTCATCAGTGGCTTCTTGTGTCTCACACAATCACACACAGATTTAACTGACCTCCTGAGTCCAGCCAGCACCATAAACTGTCCCTGTGGGCTCCAGAAAATGCTGTTGGCCTGCTGCTTGTCAAACATCTCTGCAGAAACAGGACCCAGTGGCACATTTAGTGGAGGTTTACAGGGCAACCCTGACTGTGCAACATAATGTCAATTATTTGAAGCATCTGTCTTATCTACTCACTAATGAGCTCGATCTTGCCATTGTTTTTGACATGATAGAATGAGGCGTTGATTCTGGGAGACTCTCCGTGCAGAACAGCAAACTTGCTGCCATTGGGCTCCCATGCAAATGCTATGATGCTTTCTGGAAGGAAAACACAAAGGACAACATATCAGGTTCAGTTTCTGTGTGAAACAATCGCTGTTTGAGTGTTTCTTACCCTTCATCTCCACCACATCCACAGGAACCTGCTTCTCTCTCATGCGGAAGATTTCAAAGTTGGTGACAACACCCTGGGGGGAAAAAAACAAACAAAATGTTGCATTTGATTCTTACCAGTCAGGTAACAACCATTCCTCCTCTTTCTCTGTTTCACCTGTGTTCCTTTGGGAGTCCTGTCCACTTTGACACAAAGGTAATCTCCATTTCTCTGCCAGTGCAGTTTGCAGTCGACAACATTGAAGAGGTTGCGGACCCGGATCTCCTGACGGGAAGGCATCTGCATCAGAGTCACTCTGGCTGGGATGTCTTTGTCCTCAGGTACCCAGAATGCTAAGATGTTGTCACCAGGAGACCATGAGAAGTCCCTGTGAACACACACACACACAGACCAATACACAGTCACAACCTAAAGCACATAACCACGAGAAACAGATGCTTTCAAGGACCATCAAAAAAAATCTTACTTGATACCAGTAATCTTGATACTCTTCTTGTCAAGCAAACCCATAGACTGAAAGGAGCAGAAACATGGCTTTAATGTCACTTGCTCACTTCACTTAAATACACATTGTTCTACTGTAAGTCTACTTACTGGTGTTTCGTAGATGCTCAGTGTGTCTGGGGTCATCCTGGCAAAGAACTTCCCATCATGGCTCCATCTGAAAACAAATAAACACCATTACAATACATTCAAACACCACACTAAATAAATGCTAAATTATCCCAGTTGATGCAGTGTCACACAAAGACAACTGACTTGAATATGGGCCAGTGTGCAGAGCTCTCGCAGTGGAAGCCTCTCTTCTTCTGACCGGTCAGAATGTCCCAGATGATGATGGCCTGTGGGTCCTCCTTGGTGTCCATTAGGGGACTGAAGGTCACAACATACCTGCGACGCACCACAACCACAACCACACGAGACAGCCCAGAAAGTCTCAGCTGATCAAACAAAATCCATCATCCACTCGTGTTCAGGTTTTTCTGTACATCAAGGGTCATCCTGTGCAACTAAAAAAATTTGTTACCTAATGAACAAATATATAAATGCAATCTAAAATATTTTTTTAAAAGCACTCTCCTTTGTGACAGGAGGAAGTATGTTTCAGTGCATTTCCTCTCTGGATGACAGAAGAATCACTCTGCCACTTGTCATCATCACAGTTTAAGACTCACACTGTATTCAACCAGCTGCATGAGGATATTGAGCAGTGAGTCGTCATTCCCTCTCAAACAGCTCACTTTGCTTGATAAAACTTAGGCTGATATTTACTCAACATCAACAGCAATGCTGATTACCTCTCACATGGCGAGAAGTCGATGAGGGACACCCCCTGATGGCTGAACCTCTGAATCTGTTTGAACTTCTCACCACCCCACAGTGCAATGCCACGTTGGTGGAATGTGGCCAAGTAGGTGCCTTTAGGAGACCAGCGCACGTACGTCTCTGTCCAGCGCTGCATCAAGAGGCCAAGTGTTATTAGTTTGCAAACCAAGCAGTACTTGTGAATGACATTTAATACGACTCTATACAGCCAAGTCCTGCATTTCCAGTTGCAATGAATTACTTACTGCTCTCTCTTCAACTGTGATTGGTTCCTTAGCATCATTAGAGAAAATGGCGGTCCTCTCTCCAGCTTCGTAGATCACACTGTACTGGTCACGGCAGTCTGGGTCCTCAATCCAGTGGCGCATATTACCCTGGACAGACAGAGGTAATGAAGCGTTAGAGCATTTTTTTAGGGCATTGATATTTACTATAGCTTTTTGTAGGGTCAAGTATAGTAAAACACTGTATCCTAAACTAGCGGTCGACTGATTAGCCCAATTAATGGTTCTATCACTTTTCTAAACTATAGGAAAACTCACAAAATCTTTGAAAGGCTGCTTCTCTGGAGTTTCCCATTCATCACTGATGTTCATGTACCTGGGAAAGTAAGCAAAAAAAATTAGTTTACTCATCTCACACACCTCCACAGTCACACTTGCTGCAATTCTGCATGAGACATGTCAACTTACTTGTCAAAGTCAGTGAAGAGATTGACCCTGAACGTATGCTGTTTGTCGAGTTTGTATCCATCTGCGTTCTTTACTGCCTCAAGGGCCTGAGTGGGAGCGGCGTATTCCAAGAAGATGTACCTGCATGGCCAAAAGGTATGTTTACATCTTAAATTCAACACTAAAGCAGTGCAAAAGGAATGACAGAGCAGAGAGCAAAATAAATCTGGAGGATGTCAGGACCATACCCTTTGGTCATTCCATCAGCCTCTGGATAGAACTCGGTGGTGATTTTGCCAAACTTGGAGAAAATCTTGTGGATGACGTTCTTGAGCTTCTCCAGACGTTCTGGGCCCACCTGAGGCACATTGTCCACCAGCACCACTGAATCTATGCCGTCAGCCTCCTGTGGCTTCTCCCTCAGGATGTCAACCAGAAGCTCTGAGGAGAAAAGAGGAAGGATGTGATTGTCTGTCCAAATTCAACAGGTATCCAGTGATGATACACTATAATGAAAACACAAAATAGGCCTGTTGTATAATACTACATTAAACCTAGTTAGGTGGCCAAAATAAATTGGAAGGTGAGCGTTTTACTAATTTTGCAGAGGTGTTTCCAGAATATATCTAGAGTCCGTTTTGAAAATAAATACTATAAGACACTTAGAAAGCGTCCTATGGTCAAAGTAAAGCGCCATTTCTTCACATTTTATCTGGAGCCATCTCCAATCCACCCTTGGCTGACATGAACGCTGCCTTAGCACTGGTGATAGCTAGCTTTTAACAGCTGCTTCATGTAAAACGCAGACTGAATGGCCACATTAGTGATATTGGCCTTTTAATGATCCATTCACCTACAATAAAACGCTTCCTTATAGAGACATCTTAATAATATACTGTTTCACCTTTCCACCTGACAAGAACGAGGGCACAGTAAGTGGATGTCTGGGGTCTGGGTGAGGCTTCAATGGGCGTTAAGTTTTAACCGAACGTTACTATGATAAGATCGGTTAATGTTAGCTTACGTTGGGAACACTTTTGATGAAAATGGTGGCGTTTCCTGGTACAGAATATCTAGACATTGGTAAAAGACTTTTAATACTCAGTCCCGAAAGGCAAAGTAACAAACTAGCTAGCACATGTAGTACTACCACCACCTTTGAGCCCCTTTGCTCTGCGCTCAGCTAACGGTTAGCAACAGGCCAGAAGCCGGCGTCTTTCCTGCTGCTGCTCACCATCATCTTCAATGTCATCCAAGAAATCCTCCGGGTCGCTGAAGGAAGGCTCCTCCTCTTCATACTCGGGGTCGTCCACCATATCCACCGTATCTTGCATTTAACAGCACTAAGAGGCTGATTTGTCGCTACAACGGAGCAAACTCCTAAAAATGAAGAGGCTAGCGGTCCTTGGCCGGTGAGGTACCATGTGCGTCTACGTGCAAATGGACGAAGTGACGGAAACGTAGGCCCGGAACTTGCTCTCCGGCGCCTCCATAGGCAGCGTAGAAAACGTAAAGTTGTAAAACAAATGGACGGGTTGTATTCGGGGGTGAACTGCGTTTAATGTCGCCTATCGACCTGTATATAGATCAGTAGACGGTGTAGCTACCTTTGTTGGGTCTCAAATTCTACACGGAAGGAAAAAAGAAGAGGGGAAGCAATGCACCGGTAGATCCGATTTCCCGCGAGATGGACGAACTAAATGAAGATTTTTTTTAAAGGCAATTGTACCCTTTCACTAAAGGTTTTAACTACATTTCTGGACATGTGAATCAATGCTAGTTGTGTATGATTCAGTGTAACTATTTAGTACTAAAAAGTTATTATTAGGGGCCTGTGTGTTATAACCCGAGGTTTTATTAACACTGACACGTTAGCAACATGGACACAGAGTGCGTGTCGCTACTGCCCAGGGTCTGTGAGGTGCTGGCGGACTCAGCGAGGTCTCTGCCTGATGACACCACCCTGGAGAAACTGCTGGACTGGTTCACAGGGTTCACCAAAGCTGGTTAGTAGTGATACTGGTGGGATAGTGTAGGTGGTGACGGTAATTTTTAATCTCTTCTTCGTTTTCTTCTTCTTCTTCTACTGATGTTTATTGGCGGTTTGCAAGCCAACTTACGGTGCATTACCGCCACCTGCTGGGCTGGGGTGTGGAACGACAATAGAGCCGAAAGAATTAAAAAAAGGTTCTTAGAACTGCATAAACTACTAAATCCTATCCAAAATACCTATATGTGCCAAGTAACTAATAACTATTTTATATGCTTTCTTACTATCGCTCCCCAAAAAGCTCTCTAGTGATACATTAGTAATTTTCACGACCTGTAGGATGTTTACCTATTTTCTCTTGCTGCCTCTTCCTCCTCAGACCTCTTAAGGTGGTGGAGCTGGCAGGTGTGTGCCTTCCCTCATTTGTTGTGCTACTCCAAATACATACTATAGCCACATTTAGGGGAATTGGAGACTAAATTGTTACCTGTCCCTATTTAATAGCTCAAAAAATGCACTCTTGTTTTCTCACCCCCATTCTTGATTTAATCAGTTCTATGAGAATTCTTTATATAAAACTGATCACAAGGTTTGTTAGACTAAAATAAAATAATAAAATGGAGGTTTATAACAGGGTCTAATTGACCACCAATGCAAATATCATCACTACATACTGTACTGCACATTTATTTGCTGGGAATTGATTTTTGAAATATAACTATTGTATATTTGTTCATGCATGAGGCTGGATTTCAAAGCAGGGATGTTTTTGTTTCATGTGCACAGTGACTTCAAATGTCTTGCCTAAAGATATTTGATTTAAAATAATATTCAACACACAAAAGCAGTAAATGTCTAAAGTTACAGAAGCCGGATTGAGTTAATAATAGCCATTTTGTTAAATAACTGAAATAATGAATCACCCAGAAACATTTGATTATTTTGTCAATTGACTGAACAATTAATCAGCTAATTATTTCAGTGCTTTTAATAATTAAGCTGCCATGTGTCATCTTTTCTCCTGATGAAGGGGGATCTCTGCTGGAAGCGTGCCCATGTCTGCTTGAATTTGTATCCACTGTGGTTTACAACACAACCTCAGACCCCAGCGTCCTCTCCTTCACTCTCAGACTCACTGGCTTAATGGCTGCCAGTGAGGATGGCTTCATAATGCTTCAGGTAGAGCTGTGGCCCTTTATACTTTTGCTAAACTATTATTACTAACTATTCTAAAGCCAGCCAGCGCTGGCTGTAACCTGGCTCAGGTGATGTCCCACTCCCCCCCACAGGAGTACTCCGTTCTGGACCTGGTCTTCAAACTTCAGCACTGGCAAGAGGCAGGGCTATGGGATGATCCGTGTATACGGATTGGCTGGATCCAGGGCTTATGGAGCATGCTGCAGCATCCAAAGGCTCTCACCTTCTTTGTACAGTCAGGTGACACTCCATGTAGGAAATTAGACCATCTCTCCTCACACTTTATAGAAATTTCAGGAGACAGGCAATACCCTATTGGCCTCAATATAAGATGACCCTGATTATAAGTAACCCCCTTTTCCAACATGCTACCTCCCTCCTGATCCTTGCAGTAGCTTCTTTATTTTCTGTAGTACTTCAGCCACTTTCAGTTACACCTTTTTTTAGACAAATGACAGAGATAAAGTACCAAACAACTCACAGGGAGCACAGATTATAAGCTGTTCTGGCAGCAAGTGGTGACCCAACACCTTACTAAGACAGTTTATGTTGGTTTTCCCTTTAATTGGTCACCCATCTGTATCAGTAGAATTCATGTCCCCAAATACCATTTCATAATTTGAATTCTTGCACCTCCTGATACGTGTTTTTATATGTTTGACTCCCCAGATTTCATTGAGCCGCTCTTACAACTCCAGACAGACAGAAGTATCTTTGTTGCCTCAGCTGCCAATCAAATGCTCGCCCACATCCTGCTCTTCTTTCAGCCACCCTTGTCTGCAGGATGTAATGGCATAGGTAAGAAAGATGGGGATGACAAGAGAACACATGCCTCCATCACAGACTTAGACCAACCAGCCATCACCTTGGAGAACAGAGCAGAGTACGCTGCTGTTGTCACGGCGATCTTGGAGTACCTCAAGGAGTCGCTGGTTCCCAAAGAAAACACACAGCTGCATCAGAGTCTGCAGCTCCTCAAACTGCTCTCCCTGCTCCTCACCCAGGCCAGGTCTCCTCTCCGGGACATGTTGCTCCAGACAGTCGCAGGCTCTCTGGAGGAACTGGTGACCACAGGCTACAGTCAACTCACAGTGCCTCTGATGGACGTCATTCTGGCTGCACACAGGTGGACCAGTTTTCTTATATGAACACAGTAGAGTAGAGGTTCAAAGGTGTATACTCCATACTACACACTAACTGTAGTACTACTATATGAATAAAGTAATCATTTAAAGTGTGACAGAAGTAGAGACGTTTGAATGATACTTATCATCTGTATCATTCAGTTTGATACAACATGGGCACCAACTGCCTGATGGCCGAGTGACAGCACATTCCAAAACCAAGTGTTTTTAGTAATCAAGTCAACTTTTAATGAGAGTGGTCAGTGTTAAAAGCCTCTCAATGTTTGTCTTATGCAGCTCTGGCACTGATGAACCAGACAAGCACATCACCCATCTTCTGTCATCCATGTTGAAGATCAACAAACCTGCTGACCTCATTCATGCAGCAGCTGCTGTTCTCCGCAGGGGCCATCAGTAAGCATCTGTTCACAGCACGACTTTACGCTCTCACATAGAGTGTCTTTTTGCCAAGCCGCTCTGGAGCTCCCTGGCTCCCACGGAGCCCCATTTCCAGTGGCTTGGGGCGGAAACACTGCCACTACCTTCCCTGTCTTTATTATCTACACCAAATTTCCCTCCTCACACCTACTCATAGCTGGCTCCCGGTCTTTTCTTTATTTCCTTCGGTTGGCTTCCTCCTTTACATATATGTTTATTTCCAGACTGAACAGAGTTGTACACAGCTACACAACACACCCTCACGTACACAAATCACATGTAAAACTACCTGTACACTTATAGCATTTATACCCACGTGTTCTTTTGTGAATGTCCTGCGTCCATTGTTCTGTCTTCCATGTCCTGTCCTGTTGCAATTCATTTAAAAAGTATGTGGGTTCATTCCCACCAGTACAAGCTTGGGTTCAAATGATTTTATCAGATTTCTTTTTTAATATTTCTGTCCAGTGACACTGCCCACACTGCCTGGGCTGTGAGACTGTTACTGCTCCCCCTCAGCATTATTACTGGCCAGACTCTACTGGGCGCTGCAGGTAATACACCGATCTACAGATCAAAAATAATGAAAAGGTGAATGGTCTGTTGTTTATCATCTGTGTGACTCTCTCTGTTAATATATTTCCTGCAGGAGATGAGCATCACCTTTCAATGGTGGAGCAGCTGAAGAGTAAAACATTGTGCATCCCTGTGGTCTGTGTCTCTCTGACAAGCTCACCACAGATCACACTAATGGTGAGGCTGTAGCTTAAACAGAAAAGGGAGTACAAGAAATGCACTGCATACCTTATGTGTAGTAATCTGACATCAGTGTCTTTCTTTCCTTCAGCCTGCTGACTTCCTTCCCTGTCCTCCTGTTACAATTGTCACTGCAGTTCTGTCGTTATTAAGAGTCTGCAGTGGCCATGTGTCCTCGTCATGCACTGGCTGTACTGAGGTTTTCAGGAATGTAATCGGCAGTGGCAAAGTTCAGAGATGTGCTCTCGATGCTCTGACAGCTTTCAGTTGCAGCCCAGGTTTGTCCACATGTGAGGCAATCCAGACAGACAAAAGATCCTCTTTCTTGTACATGTTTCCTGAAATTTTATGAAAAACTTTATTAAAAGACAGTACAAGTGACCAAACTAGACTATTTAAATATGTAGCGCATACTAAATGCTAAAAATACACATCAGGGTGTTACACAAGATATCTGAGTAGCTAAATACCTACTATGCCATTAATTAATTAAATATGACTTAGTAAAAAAATGAATTAGTTTAAAGAATTCATAGTGTTCTCACAATGTAAGAGGGAATTTAATATATACACTAAAACAAATGATAAATAATGATATTGCTATTGATCTTTCCTTCTGTGTTTGTATTTCAGGAGCAAAGGAAAAGATTAGTGAGGTGTTGACAATTCTGACACAATATCTGGACAGTCCTGACTCTGACCCCACTGTATGTCTGTGTGTTTGTTTGTCACTGAAATTCTACTTCTGGTGAACAGTTGGTATACTACACTATAAACTGTAATACTAAAACTGAATGTAAAAAGTACGTAAATACCCAAACATTAAACTAATACAGTATGTCATTGTTGAGCATGTCATTCTAAAATCCAGAAAATCCCCAAACGTGCTCTTTCTGTGTCTCAGGTACTACACAAGTCCTACCAGGCCTTAGTAAAATGGACATGTGTGTGTAAAGACCTCTCCTCTATAAAAGATCAGCTCAGACAAGGTAAAGTTCACCAGCAGCTTCCTCGCAAAGCTCACAAACTTAAACAAGCATAAAACTTTACGAACATTTAAAAAAAACACCCAGTTGTCTATTAGGTGTCTCTGAGCAAGACACTGAACCCCGAATTGCTCCTGGTGGCTTGACTGGCGCTGGTGCGTGGCAGCCTGTCATCATTGGTGTGTGAATGGGTGAATGGTGTATGATCTTCTGTAAAGTGCTTTGGCCAGTGCAACACACTGTGGGAAAGCGCTATATAAAATACAGTCCATTTACCATTTACAAATATACTCAAATCAACACAACAACAATTAATGACATAATATTGTGTGTGTGTCCCTGTTAGATCTCATCAGGGTTGTGAAGAAACGTGTGTGTGACATGCGCTGGGAGGTGAGAGACTCGACTGTAGAGTTTCTGGGGAAAGCGGCGGGTGTCCTGAAATCAGCCAAGGAAGAGCATGATGTGTTTGAGGCTCTGCTGGGCGGCTGCTCGTGTACCACTCCCCTCCTGAAGGAGGCGCTGCAGGATCCAGAGAGCTATGTTCGGGCCAGCGCCATCTCTGCACTGGCCCAGACATTGGCACACAGCTGGCATCAGGGGGCAGCACTCACTCAGGAGCAGGTGGGCAGAAACCACTTCATCACTGTTAATATTATACTATTATATAAATAAAACACAGCCAGAGAAACAAAAAAGCAGACAAGGGATGTAGTTAAATATAAATAGAGGCTCCAAAAAAGAACCTGATCTTAATAAGACTATCTGTTTAAACAGAGATTTAAACACATCACTAAAGTAGTTTTCTGCCAGGCTGTGGTCAGATGCAGGAATTCTCATTCATGCATCTACCTCATCTAGAACAGACAGCTGTATCTCTCCCGCTTTTGTCTTCACTTTATAACTCCAACCATCTGTGTGTCTTCAGACCGAAATTGTGAGTCGGCTCCTTGAAATTCTCTCCCAGGACACAGAGGGATTCGCCAGGAGAGCGGTTATACAATTCTTCATCACCTGGTTCTTGTCGTGCTCCTCACACTCACCTCCATCATCATCTACCTCCTCCTCCTCCTCCTCTCTCTTGATGAACTCTGTGCACTCCATCCTCTCTCTGGGCAGCACTGATCTGGACTGGGAGGTCAAAGTTCACACGCTGGAACTGGCGGAGCTGCTACTGGATGAAGCCTTCTCAGGTCACCGGGGTTACGGCAAGGGCTCAAATTCACATCCAGCCCTACTACATCCTAATGCTGTTGTTTCTGACCAGGCCTGGAAGTCAGATTTGGTGAGCGCGCTGAGCGGTCTGGTCGAGCTGGGAGTCATCTCAGTGCTGTTGAGTGGCCTGTTTGACTGCGATAGACCTGTGGGTTTGAAGGCCTGTCAACTGCTGATAACACTCAGAGAGACAGTCTGTCCTCTGTCCTTAGAGGCCTTGGATGCAACTACTGCCATGGCAACAGTCGCCAGAGTATCCTGTGAACTGCCTGGATGGGGCTGGGGCCAGGAAATCAGAAAGATAGTGAGGATGAAGAAGAATGATCGGGCTAACGAGATGGCTGTCACCGGAGCAGATGAGGTCTGCTCCAAAGAACATAATGAGGCAGGAGAGCATAGTGTGAGCGAGGGAGGTGAGAGTGTGTGTGTTGGTGTGTGTGAGGTGTTGAGGTCTCTGGGTTTAGATGAGAGGCTGGGCGTCCTGACTCAAAGCAGTGACCATGTCCATAACTCTCCACTGTCTCTGCTGCAGGACATACTGACTGCAAGTGCAGCACATGCTCATCCAGACACACAACCAGGGCAAGAAGTCATAGTGGACTGTTACTGATACACAAATGCTTTTTCATGACACAGTGTTGAATTTCAGTTGATCTTTGTGTTTTGGTACAGTGCAGTTACCGTTGCCTTCACTTCCAGCAGAGGGAAGTCTCATGTCACCAATCGAGTTCTGAACAGGCTAAAAACTGAGACTGGACCAGACCTGAACTACTTTTAGTTCCTGATGCAGCTCTTCCCCTCCTTTGTGCATCCAAACACAGATACAGATGGCGGGCACAGTCATGTTTCTACGCTGACTGTATAGCTAAAGCCGGACAAACCAGATACTTTGTTTGGACCTTTGTCAGTAGCAGCTCTCAAATTGATGTCTGTCATATTGTTGAATCAAAACATCACTCAGTTCTTCTGAGACCTGTATCCTTGTTCACCTATTTTTTTAAATTGATTTTTGTAAATAAATAAAAAGGTTAATCTTTGTGAAATGAGTGTAGGTTCTTTGCTGATTCATCAGTACCAAGTTGTTAAACAACCACTCATCCTACTACTTCCTCTTAATCTGTGCTGACATGGTGTTTTGAATAACTCGTCTGTACTAGATTCTTGGTCACTTTCCATTTGGTTGCTCATAAGACACAATTGTACAAATCTTACAATAATCCTTTTTTTGTATCCAGGTATAATTTCAAAAGTTTCCAGATTCCAGTTTTTTTAAGTTGGAGGTCAACATTCAACTTTATTGCCATTATAGAAAACAGGGCCGCACAATGAAATACAGCTGCAGCCCCCTCCACAGAGTAGATCTGTCAGATATGACTGAGAATAAAAAACTATTGGCAGTGAAGTAGAATAAGAAAAGAGGAAAAACTATATTTAAACAAGATTATATGCAATATCTTTGTAATATGTTCGGCACTACTGCAAGTTATATTGCAGAGATACTGTGATGGTAGTAGGAATGAGGAGAGAGCAAACGACATGATGTGTTCATGGTACAATAATGGTTATGTGAATCAAGATTGTTGGTTGATCTGTAGCTGGACGCACTTGTTTCCCCTTTGCAGAGACTTGTTGTGATCTCAGGATGAGATCATAAACACTCCAGATCATTCAGTTCACTCTGTTCTAGGTTATTTCCACTCCTTCCCTGTCTCTCTTTCTGCTCACACCATCACTGATTTCCCTGGTGGAAACGCTCCATTAAAGCCCCAGAGTTTGAGGTGAATAGTGTTGTGACGCATGCGGGTGGGGGGGGGGGGGGGGGGGGGGAGTCGTCACCTTCACGTGTTCACACGCTCTCCAACTTGATCACATGGAAGAACAGAGGGACGCACACAGAGAAAACAATCCTCATTAACTAACGAGCAGGATGTCAGAGACTACACACATATAAACACAATTTCATCCTGTACTAGAGTGTTGTCACCCTGCTGTGCTCCACTCACACACAGCCGTGTTCTCTCTCTTCATTCATGAAGTGACAACGTCTTTGCTCTCTGTTCAGCATGGAGGCAGTGGCACTGTTCTCGTTCACAGCATCAGAAGCGGCCGAGATCAGTTTTCTGAAACGTGACATTATCAAGGTATGTGTGTGTTTATGTTGACGGTTTAAAAATTTTAATTGGCCAAAAGTAACACTAGTGTTTGTGCATGTTTGTATAGTAAGAATAATTATGTATGTGTGTTTTAGGTGACAGAAATGGAAGATAATTCTTACTGGTTCACAGCAGAGATCCAGGGGAAGCGAGGCTATGTGCCCAAAAACTACATTTCCCTACTTCCTCATCCGTAAAAAACTCATTTGTCCATATGTTTTATACAAATGATTATAAATTCTACAAATCAATCTAGGATAGATGATTCCTGCAAATTTTATATTACTGATAAGGATTTTCACATCAGTGGTTCTCAGACTTACTGACTTGTGATCCCATAAAATGATACATCTACTTGTGATACCTCGTCACAATATAGTCTTAGTTTTCAAACAAAATAGATTTTAGGAAAGTCAGAAAAACGATAGATGCTCTTTCTCTCTGTGTATGACCTATCAATTATTCCGGGATCCATTTTGGGATGGGATCCTGAGCAGGAGGCTGAGAATCACTGATAAACAAAATAAATTACCTCAAGGAGAGAGTATAATATATTAATAATTTGCATAACTGTGTCTCTTGTCTTAGGTGGTTTGCAGGGCGAGTGTCGAGACTCGAGGCTGAACGGTGGCTCCGCTGGCAGGACACTGGAGTGTTCCTAGTTAGAGAGAGTGAATCAGCTCCTGGAGAGTTTTCTCTCTCTGTGAGGTCAGTGAATTCAGAAAGCACTGTAAACATCATCATCATTCGTTAGTCTAAGAGATTCAAGTCAAATATCACTGTCACCATGTTCTGATGTTCATAGCTTCCAAAATGTGTGTTTGCTACTGGGCACTAGTTATACATGTGCTGAATTTGCTGCTGTAATTTGCCATTTTGTTTTACCAAAGTGTGTCTTAATGAGTGGAGATAAGCATCTACTCTGGGGTCAGATCTCAAAAGCCACGCAGCACCATCTCCTCCATCATGTTATGTGAGCAGTAAGATGTTTATTCTCCATCACACTAAGCACATTAGCAAGTTACGGCATCCACATGTCTTTCAGTGCGTGTTAGGGTTGGCAGAGGGGAGAGCCAGACTATTTAATTGTGTTCCATGAAAACCCATTGCACTAAAAATATCACAGCATCATAAACTGCGTGTGTGAGGAGGAAGTGTAATTTGGGTCACCGAAGTGATGTGGGACACATGTAATCTGAGGGTAAATTAAATGTGTTCAAAAATCCGGGCATTATGTAACACCACTCTTTAATTAAACACAGATACATTATTCAATTGGCACATGCCACAGACATGCATGTACATGCTGTGCACACATAATGTTAAGGCGCAACATCTATTTGCCAGCAAGGGCTGAGAGTTAAGTGCTTTACTGTATGGACAAATACACAGAGACACCAACACAGCACAACCATAACACAATCCTGAAAGTGTTCAGCAGAGGGAGACACCAACACAGCACAACCATAACATAATCCTGAAAGTGTTCATGTTCAGAGAGAGTTCATAAGACTCAGAAGAGTTTTATAGTTTGAAAATAGCAGCAGTGGCCCATTACAACAGATAGCAGTATGCTAACAGTGTCTTTTGTGAGATACAAGTCAGCTAAACGTCATCTGAACCATCCATCTGTTATCTATACCCAACAAGAGAACCTATCCCAGTAGGCACTGGGTGAAGCCACTTATCACATGGCTAACACAGAGGAATCCAGGCTGAACTTCTCAGTGCTGATTGATGTGTGTTTGCTGACGTGCATGTTGACATTTGAGTTTTACTGTATAGGCTGTGAGAATACCTCCTGTGATGATTCTGGAGATAACACCCTCTCATGCAGAGGTCTGTGGTTTTATTTCCCTACGTCTGAGTGGATTTCCAAACAAAGAAACAGCTAAAGGAATGAAGGTGGAAGGTGCCATAGCTTAAAGGAGAGTGCATACCTGCATTTATCCTCCTTACCTTTCTCACTTCTCTTTGTCACCACTCTTACTTTTTCAGCTATGGTGACAGGGTGGAGCATTTCCGTGTCCTGGAGGGCAGGGGCCAGTATTGCATCTGGAACGAGTTGTTTTGCTCCCTCAACCGACTGGTGGATTTTTACAGAAGTCACAGCATCGCAGCGGAGCACGTGGTCTACCTCAGAGACCCTCCCTCATCCCCTTGCCCGGTGTCCTATCCTGGATGTAACCCCTACCCCAACCCTTATAAAAGCAGCTCTCAGGAGTCCCTGCCCTCAGCCCACCTCTACTCTCGGCCCTCTCACCCAGAGAGCGTGTCCTCCCTGCATCTGCTGGAGCCAATTTTGAGAGTATAAGGAATCATCAGGCATCACTGTTTGTTATAAACAGTGTGTACTTCTTTTTAATACACACCCCTTTGTCTGATGCTATGGCTCTGCTCTGTCTTTGTGTAGAAACCTTGTCTGGTTCATGCCATTTGTGACTACACCCCCCCTCAGACCACCCACCTCCACTTCCTGCATGGTGACATTATTGACCTGCTTGACTGCTCTGGTGCGTTGACCTGGAGAGGGCCCTGTCGAGGCCGAGTGGGTGTCTTTCCACCAGAGTACGTCCACCTGCTGTACCACTGACACCCTATCAGTAACATGGCTGTATCACTGCCACTTATCTGTCAGGCTAGTTGCCATTATAACTGAATACCTATTATTTTGAATACTAATCAAGAAATCAAAAATGAACTCACAGGTTAATCAACAATGAAAATAACCTAGAGTGAACCGTCAAACTTGAGGCCTAATGTCCTCCTCTCACCAACAGCCTGTACTAAATATGTGAAGTAAAAGTTAAGCTGAATTTTATTTTCACTGTGTTTTACCATCTATGCCCCTTTAACATCCGCTTTAGTAAATGTAAGTAAACTGTACAGAAGCTGAATAAACTGTGATATCAACTGATTATAAAAACTAACTGTGTTGATTTGTGGACAAACACTTTATTTGAGATGCAACAAGAAAAAAATATTTGATGGACATGTTGACAAGATATTTTGTCTTTTGACTGACATAAAGTTCTTTACATCCGAGAATGTAACTCCAATTAAACATTTCATCGAATGCACAGAAATACAGACATTAAAACAGATTTTCTCAACATAGGGGTTGATGCTCTTTGGTCATATACAGTAGGAAATTATCGGTGCTGATAAATTGTAATTACTTTGGTATATTTGTAATAATAAAAAATAAAAGTAATACTTGTCATTTCTAAGTAATTTGGATGCATTTGAAGCTTCAAAACACAAATGTGTGCCATTTTTAAAAGAAGTTGGAAACCTAAAACAAGAAAAGCCTGAGAAATTCTGCTGTATGTTCAACAAACAAGCTGAATCACGACAGAACACTAGAACGATAAAAGTGCACAAAACCTTCGTTGACAGACATATAAAGCCTTAATCACATTATTTTCATCAAGCATCTAAACTCCAAAGGAAACTGATTTCTGTGAGCCACATAGAACCCAAACTACATAGATGTATTCTTATCTTCTTGCTATGTATTGTGTAAGATTTATGTTTAAGCTAATGTGTCATTTAGACGTCGTATTGCATTGAACACCAACTGCACAGTCATGATAGCTTGTAACAAGCCACAAGCTTCATTATAATTTGCATATAACAGCTTTCTAAAGCTTTATAACTAGGTCATCACAAAGGAACACGTTTCACGAATAAGACAATAGGCTTTACTATAGTGTGGGAGTAGAAAAAAAAGATGAACATCATTACATCAAAGTAAGTCTTTAGAAATACTGTTTGTCTAAAATAGTAATTATAATTACCATCGCTGATTCTGCCAGCCTGAGTGGATGAAGGTTTAAACATCGCATGAGTGCAAGTGGATCTAAGTGCAGGTTTAAAAAAAAAAAAAAAATCTAAATCTTCTCTTGATACATATAAAAGTTGGTGCCACCTTGGTGGAGGTACAGTATGTGCTCTCTGGGGGTTTTCTACTTTGAAATGTGTGGCACCTGTAACTACATCTGCAGGCTTTACATTGTGAAATACACCACCTTGATTTTTAAAGGACTCAATTAAATTCTCTGTATGTATATGTTTCACCACCTGCTTGTAAATGGAGAAATCAGCAGCTGTTTGGCAGGCAGGCAGAGTTTCAACTACTTGAGTGAGAGACTGGCAGAAGTTCAACACAAGGGCGAGGCAGGATGTTAAATCTGACCCTCCACTCAGGCAAAGTATGCATAAAGAAAAACGTTAATGCTGATCAGCAAGAGCGCGTTAAAGCAGCAGAACCTGGACCAGAAAACGCTCTCTCTGATGCTGGGAACTCTGGGAGCTGGAGCCTCCTGCGATCGACGTACTGCTGAGATACATAGTTCAGCTGCTCGGCCACATGTCGCCCGCCGAGTTGGCTCAGAGCCTGCAGCATCGCACGCACAGAGCAGATAGAGGAAGTTACTCACACAATAGCAACTGCAGCATGTGTGTCGATGACTCTCATACGATGGCTAGTGTTATTCCAAGTGGCATAAATACTCAGACTCTTACCCTGGGGGCTACGGTGGCTGACAGAGGACACTTTCTGTAGAGGAATTTCTCTTTGTGGCTCTTCAGTTATTGTCCACCAGGTCAAGTTACACACCTGGGAGAGTAGAAAATAGAAATGCAAGAAGCTGAATGTAAGCCAGTATTTACAAGATCTTTACTTAAAGGAAGAGTTTGATATTTTGGGAACTATGCTTATTCACTTCCTTCCTTGACAACTTCCAGGTTTTCTATGATGATTGAGTCAGGCGACTGTGAAGACCATTCCAAACACTTCAGCTTGTAGATTGATCACTTGGATGCTTACATGGATGCTTTGGATCATTGTTCGGTTGCAGAAGCCAGCCTTTTCTCATTTTCACTTTCTTAACTGGCTGCGTGAAATTTACACCGGGAATTTGATGATACTTTATGGAATCCATTCTTCCCTGCTGCCTTGCAACCTTATAGCATAATAGCTTCAACCCTGTGCTGTTGGCCAGGTGTTTTCTTCATCTAAAGCTGCTCCTTTATTTCTCCAAACACACCTTTGTTGACTGTGGCCGAAGAGCTCAGTTGTTAATTTTGTCACCTAAAACCACTCTGGCATATATTTGCATTCTTCAGATGTTGACTGTTGAAATCTAAAATAGGGTTTCTTACTGATGACTCCTCCATGTGGACCAGGCATATCTGACTGACTTGAAATATGAAGCATTTGATGTCTTTCTATTGTGTGCAACAATACTTCTACTGTAAGATTGTTCTCTGTAGTTGATTGTTATTAGATGGGCATGGCCTCTTTAAGTATTGTTTAACATAGAAGCTAACCTCCATATAATCTGCTCTCAAATGTTACTTTGCTTGATCCTTTACCTCTTATTGAGCTCTGTTTTTTTTATAGTAGATAACATTACAGGTGTACTAACAAAAAAGTGTTTACCTTCGTAATAGTTCTGTTATTTTTCTGTGTGTACACACCTGTTCGTGGCTGGGCGGCGGTGTGAGCAGTGATACTATAGTAACCACGATAGCAGTGAGCCCGCAGAGCAGAATGGCAAAGTGGAGGTAGTGGACACTGCGCAGCACTGCAGGCGCTGTGTCCACAACACCACATCTAAGAGGAGGAAAGGCAAACTCCAGCACCATCCTACACGTGCCCACCACCAAACCCACCATCAGGCCCCAGAATGCACCCTGAAAACACACAAACACATACATTTAAACATATACAATTTACACTACATGCCATCCTGAACAGATATTCCTAGTGCAGCCCTGGGTCACACTTGGGTGTGCCCGGCACGTAACACTTTCACTTTCCCACCATGATAATCTGTCAGTGTCATATCATTTAAGTAAACAAATAATCCTGTCTCCATCTCTATTAACGATTCATCAGAGAATTTGATCTGTGCAGTCTGACTTAACACAAATGAAAATAATTACCTTGGCACAGCACACAAAGAAAACACCTCTACACCTACTTCCGTTGTCATTATATGTTTTTCTTTTCTCTTCTTGTTGTTCACATTCCTTACACTCCTTATTGCAAAGCATTTCTCTGATCTATTTCTTTTTCTTTCTGATGTGAAAGTACGTGTGGAAAAAATGTAATAGCTATGTTATCAAATATAATGGTATAATAAATATAACAACACTAATTACAGGGTTAATAAGTGTTTTTATGAGTTACAGTTGCAGAGCTGGTTCAACACATCATGGTACCATGTAAATCGGTCTGTATTGCCAGACTAGTCATGTGTGACATATCCTGAGGCAATGTGTGCTCTTTGGGCCCCGTAATTCAGCAACATTTGGACTGTAATATCGTCACACTGTCCACCTGAACAAATTCCTTTGTTTTTTAAACACATTTTGTGACCCTTCACAATAGGTTTTCATAGGTCTAGAGTGAAATGGGAATAGCTAAAAGCTAAAGATACTATAACTCTTCCAGTAAGCATGTGTTTGGTCTGTTGCAGGTCTAAAGATTAAGTATCTATGTTTAAACTGTGCTAAATCAGGCATAAAAGTGAAAGGCTTTTTAAAAACTGCATTTCAGTGACTGTATATGTATTTGTATTTATGCTGTTGAAACAAGTCGAGCAGCTCTGTGGGGCTGTGCCTAGTCCTAGCTGAGCTAAATGCTAACATCAGCATGATAACCTGCCCAGCTGACAACGCTAACATCCTGGTACTTAGCAGGTATAATGTTTAATGTGGTCACCATCTTAGTTTAGTATGTTAGCATTTGTTAATTCACGCTAAACACAAAGTACACCTATTTGTGTAGTTGTTTGGATATTTCAATCTGGACCAAAGTGGTGACAGATCAACATTTCCGTCTATGCCATTAGCTTGGTGTTTGCTCAGTTTCTGCTCATATTGTATCCCCAGGCATGTTCATTGTAAATGCACAGCAATTAATGTACAGTAGTGTAGTAGTGTGTAGCTTCATTCAGCGATGGAGAAAGATTTATATCACAGTAAAGAGAAAAAAAAACCTTTCATTCGGAAAGACCTAAGGAAATCCTCTTCATTTGCAGCATGCCAGCAGAAAGCAGACACACCCAGAGCTTTCTGTAATAAACCAGGGATTGAATCTTGACTCTCCAGAAGACTTGCCTTTACTTGCAGTCGAACAATCCTTCAACACATGTTTATCAGCTGTGGGCTGATACACATTCATTACTACAGCACTTTTATCTCTTTTACTTCACTCTGTAATCTTCTAATAATCTTGCTTCCCCTACATGCACGCTGTTATGAAACAGAAAACAATCACTTTAATTTATTAAAGCGACAGAGCAGCACACTGTAGCACAAACTTTAAAGCACACACACACATATTCTCACACATGGCCTCCACACTAAGCAGTGAGGGATGCTTGCACTCAGCTAGATCCCATGTGAGACTAATAAACCTGCACTCCAGTACAGTGGAGGGGAAAGAGGAGAAACTGTGTAAATTCTATGTCTGTCTGTTTGTGTGTGCCCGTGTCTCACTTGCTCATTGGTCCTCTTCCAGAAGATGGCCAGAGTGAAGACAGCAGTGACTGGTGGAGCGAGGTAGCTCGTCACTGATTGAATGTAAACGTATAGTTGGCCGCTATTCGCTGACTGTAGTATGGGGATCCACACCACACTCACCACTATTAAGATCACTGTCACAATCCTGGAACAAACACATACAAAATATGTTTCAGTTTCTCCCAGACATACTTTTGATTCTACTGCAAGGGTTCCTTTCACTTGTTCAAGGACAAAGGAGGAGGACAGATATTCTCCATTTATGTTTATTTGTCAGGGACCATGTAGTGTTAAACATAAACACTGCCAGTTGATGAATTGCACCAGTATTAGCTTAAAGCACATTTTCATCAGCAGACCCTCGGCACGTCACAATTCCCATCTGGGCTGATGTGTTAGCGTCTCCACCGCCATCATCAAAACAAACACCCCATGAGGGATTATCTTTTTGAAGAATGGTGTTCATCTCTCCAGTAGAGCTCAGACACTTGTAGAGTCAATGCCAAGGAACTCAGAAGCTGTTCTGGCAGCAAGTGGTGTCCCAACACCTTAATAAGACATTTTATGCTGGTTTTTGCTTGAATGTTTCACCCGTCTGTATATACCAGTCTTCTTTCCCCAGTTGATGCTAGATAATCAAGCTCTTCATGTGTTTTCCCATTCTGACAGTTTTCTGCCCTGATTTCTGTCACCAGTGATTTCTGTTCTTGTTTAACCTGCTTGCCTGCAAACCTTTGTTTCACTTCTTTAAATAAAGTCACGTCACTGTACCTGCCTGCCTACAGACACAAAATAACATATGTATTCTTAAACCCAGGTCCTCCTTTGGCTGCAGGCTTCCTCCCCTGCTGCACGCCTCCATGCATGAGGGTCGCACTGTACCTGCCGACCAGTAGCAGCTCTTTCTCCGAGGCCCTGGGGCGATACTTCTTCCAGATGTCCATAGTGAAAAGTGTGGAACTGCTGTTGAAGATGGACGTCAGTGAAGACATCAGAGCTGCCATCATCACTGCTATCATAAGTCCCCGCAATCCTGTGACATAAACACACAAATACATGCAGATGAAACAAAAAAGCTCATCAAAGCATTTAACACACGTGGGACTAAAAATGTGCAGTGTTCTCACCACTTGGCATGAGTTCAATGACCAGTTTGGGAAAGGCGATGTTTGAGCATCCCACCTCAGCGCCACACACTCGCACACACTCTTCTGGATCCACACAACCTACAGAGTCTGAAAGGTCGTTTATATTGGAGTGAAAGACTAAACAACATATTCTGAATTCATGTTTCCTTGCCCTGATAACCTTCTTGATTCTGTGCAGAAATGATAAATTTCATCCAAAGCTGAAAAGAGGCCTATTCAATCTGTGTTAAACAGCTAACCAAGAAAACATTATCTGTAAAAACAGGAGCTGGGGCAAAATTTTACTTAAAGTGAACATAGAGATTCACCGGACATATGACCCTTATTATGAGTCCATGAAGTTTATAGTGGTGATACAGGGATCAGGGATGTGGACAGACCCTGGATCAGGGTCTCTGTGTGAAGTGACTGTTGACATTTCTTGCTGGAAAGTCAAGTAACAACAAACAGAGGCAAAATGAGTAAAACAGGCACAAATAAATGCAAAATGAGCACAAGGACATACAGAATAACTCACAGACAAAAACAAAGCAGACAAAAATAACCGTATAGAGAAGCAAAACATCGTAAAATACATTAAAATGTGTCAGAAAACGAGCCCTACTTTGAAATGTTCTTAAAATCAGTATGCTATTAAAGTTGCCTAATAGATAACCACAATAAGCTTTAGCCCCAAAAGGCAGACAAAACAAGTTCCAGCGAAGCTTATCAAGAGTTAGGTATTACACTGTATTTCGTAAGGCTTGTGACTTGGAACGAAAAAACAAGTTCCTCTCCCACTGTCTATGCAGGAGGGTGGAGTTTCAACTGTTTCTTTCCCAAACAGCCACGGAACACTTCGCCTTTCTGTCCCAGTAACTGCGCTTCCGTTGCCGAATTCCAGGGTCAGTCACACGCCGACAGTTCCACCACATCGTCTGCGGAACCTCGGTTAACCCTGTGTCTGGTTGGACGTTATAAAGGAGACTAAAAAAGGACAAATCGTCGTTTGGTGACTCAGAGAAAGTTCAGACTGGATCTTTTTTTTTCGGGAAACTTAACAGTAGCCGTTTTTGACGAGCTACGAAGCGCTACCGTCGGAATACATAAAGGAAAAGTGACTCGTCAGCACAACAGTTGGACTGAGTCACGTTCAGTTGCAACACGTTTAGGCTACGGGAGGATTGATGATTTTTATCTCTGTCTCGGCCACTGGTTCCGTTTTGAGTTGACTCACTGGCAGACAGGCAGACACACTCATCCACCCAGACAGCCGCTTGCCTCCATGTCTGCCGACTGGAGCAGCTGAACCGGGCCGCCTCTGCAGTGCCCCGGCCCCTGTCAGGTGAAGGGCGTGTCGCTGGGCGTGGAGCCTTTGTTCTAACTAGGCTACCTACACCTGAGTGAGTAACCTGAGATCTGGGCTGAGCTGAGAAACGGTCCTAGCTGTTGGTTTTTCTCAGGTGGAAATCTTTCCTACCGGAGGAAATGGTTGACGTTACCACCGCACGGACTCGTTATGGACCGTAATGACAGACCGCATCTTCTCGACGTTTGAGCTTTCGGACCAACGAGTGGAAACCGGGTAAGAGTGTTTCTGTAGCCTGCTTGACATTTTGCTGACCGGTGGGTGAGAGGAGGTCATGGCGCTGTCTCAGATCCAGTGTCTGGACAACCAGCACGTAAACTGGCGTGTGAGCGAGAGCAAACCGGAGTTTTTCTACAGCGAGGACCAACGGCTGGCGCTCGAGGCGCTCATTGCCAAGGGTCGAGACGCGTTCACGGACTACATCCGCGAGAAGGGCATCCGGGAGTTCCTCTCGGAACCGGAGCTGGAGCGGATCGTACACACGTCGGAGACCTACCGACCCGGGTACGAGCATCATCAGAAACCAGAGACGCCAACCACAGGGAACCTCACCCCGGGGAACAACACCTCGGGGTTCTGGGACCAGGTGTCGCTGGAGTACTGGCCAGACCGGTCTGAGTTCTCAGTGGCGGAGCTGGACCTGGGCTGGCCCGACGCCATCTCATACCGAGGGGTCACACGGGTGCATGTTTACACCCAACCTCCAACCGATGGGCAAACGCACATCAAGGAGGTGGTACGGAAGAGCATTGCATCAGCCCAGAAGGTAGGTAGTGAGGAAGAGGATGGGAGTGATGATGATGACTGTGTTAATGATGATCTCCAGTAAAATCAGACAAAAAGTTTAGGTAGGCTACTTGAGTGAGCTCTGTCACTTTACATTTATATTCTACTGCATTCCTGAAGGAAATACAGACTTTTTATTACACTGCATTTATCTGCCAGCAGTCGACTAGGTACTTTTCAGATTATGATTCATTTGAAATGATCGGATATTCCTATGAAATGCAGAGCACAACCGAATACATAACAATGTCTATATAATATTTGACATAAAAACAACTGTAGGCTACAAATTTTAAAGTCCAAAGAACCTGAAAAACATTTGTTTCAGAACTTTTTTCTTCTCCCATTAAGATGTATTCACATTAGTGCAGAAAAGTGGCTTTTGCATGCACCTTGCCATTGTTGTGTATGTGGTATGCTGGGCTGAGAGTACATATTTGTTGAACTTTGACCCCTGATTGGTTCAGCTGCTACCAACATTAGCATTGTAGCTAAGGTGCTGTTTTTGTCACCACCCCTAGGAGTTGGAATTGCATTGACCAGCGTGGAATGCACTCTGCAAGACCCTTGTGTTTCTGCAATGTGACTACACCTTTAAACATCTTATGAATCATGACCTCTCAGATTTATCTTGAGACACTTTGAGGGGGCCTGACCCTCATATTGGGAACCACAGGACTAAACTACCTAACTGTATACAGTATAAAGTACCTCTTTAAAAGTAGCTCTACCTCATGTAGGTACATTCTCATAATGACATACTAAACATATGAACCACAGAAGTACTGTTACCTTTAATACTTGAAGCACATTTTTGGGGTTAATTCTTCTTTAAGTAGGATTTTCAGTGCTGGAACTTTTCTGTAAGGAACTGATTCGAGTACTTCTCCCACCACTGAGAGAAATCACTGTACTTTGTAATGTCAGCCTTGGCACTATGGCTGCACGATATTGGAAAAACATGCGATATGCGATACGGGTGATGAATATTGCGATATCGATATTATTGCGATATTTAATATTCCCCTGAAGAAATGGTATTTTCATTATCTAATCGAAGAAATACACTTTAATGTGGCAAAATACGCAGGCTATATGTATTCTGATTGAATTAATTGTAATTCAGGCTAACTATTATGTGGTGCGAACAAACTTCACAAATACTACTGCATAACTGTTGTAACAAAAAATACTATGGCATTACTCTCAATCATTTTATTCACATGTAACCATGTGTACAACATGTAATTGCCAAGAGCATCTGAACCAAGAGCTTTAACAGCTTTGAAACAAAACATTGCCTTGCTTGCCTGGTTTTCTATACATATTAAATAAATAAATAAAATACTATAAAATCTTAGAAAACATAAAGTGCCCAGACTGTAAGTAAATTAGTATTACATCTTTTCAACATTAATGTAATAGCATGTAAACAGGAAAACATAAACTTGTATTCAAACTCTATTTGTGCCTAACACTGTGAAAACAATATTACTTTAAGTTTTTTGCCAGAAAAACGAGCATGTTGACTTTGGTAGGTTTTAAACAAGTGCGTTGGCATGTAACAACATTTCCTGATGCACTAAAAAGTCTCTCTGAAGGTGAGCTGTTTGTAGGTATACAGAGGTACTTTCTAGCTAGTTTGCTCAGGTGTGGGAAGTTGACCTGATGGAGTTGCCACCAAGTGAGAGGGTTCTCCTCAGTGTCTACTGTGGGAGATACCAGGTAGCTGTTGAGCTCTGCCTCTACGGAGTGTGATGGTACCACACATGAAGGAGCTGGGGATGTTTTGAAGAAACTGTCTAAGGATTTTTTGGCCTTCTTTTGGATTGCTTCTGATGGATCCATGCTGTCATCTTGATTGCCTGCGTTTTGCTCCTAGAATATGAAAATATGAAAATTCTGTAAGCAAAATGTAGTTAGTAATTTGAATTTTTACTTAATCACAAATTAACATTTACCTTTGGCATAAGTGCTTCAATTTCAGACATCACTTTTGCTTTGATGTTGAGGGCCTTGTCACTGCTGAGGTAGCCAGCTTTGAATCTGGCATCCACAAAGGATGCCATGTCCAGAAGTTCTTGAGTAGCTGGGTTGTCATATTTTGTGTTCATGTAGTCCAGGATCTTTTTCTTTATGCACTTTGTTAAGTCACTGTCTTCGTCCTTTGCAGCAAGAAGAGAGGTGTTCATCACGTGTAGGACCGGTTTGACACATGAAACACTCACATCTCTTTCAGCAGAAAGGGCATCTGTGAACTCTTGTAGAGGCTGCAGTGCCTGGTTAATGGACTCCAGAACATCTAGGTCTTGCC